GTAAAATGCCTAAAGCAAATTGAGACGGACGTCCCGGAAGTGAGCGCGGATTGCAGGTGGTTGTAATTAAACTAATTCAGATGCCTCGAGTCATCATCGCAACAAAACACGACAATCACCTTCTATATTCACGGTGTCCTGTAATCAATATCACTCATGTTGGCAGCTGCATTGAAACATTCGTCGCATCTCCTCCGTTAGCCCGGGGCACGGATGGACCAGTCGCTTAATTCGCCACAATTCCATGTGCAGAGTTGCGTCCCTTGAGCACGCCAATGCGTGGGTCAAAATCCCGGTTCGCCCCGTGTATGTATGGTTCAAGGTATGTCAGCACAAATAGCCGCGTTCGTGGGTTTCACCAAAGCGGTAAGTCCCGCATCACTTCGGGCTTTCCTCCCACATAAAGCTAATATAGCTGGAATACTGTTCAGAGCGGCGTTAAGCAAAAACTCACACACACCACTCTGTTAATCCAAAGACGTATATAGATCTATCAGTAAGTGAGTGAGTGAGTGAGTGAGTGAGTGAGTGAGTGAGTGAGTGAGAGAGAGTCAACGCCGCTTTGGACAGTATTTCTTATATATTCTGAAATAAAAAATGAGATTAAACGTCCTAGCGGGCAATGTTCCCAGAGGGTATCTCACCTGAACGCATATGATTTTGATTATTATCCAATCAGGGAATTCTAAAACATTAACCTCCTCAGCAACGAGCCCAAAGCGGTACGGTTATTCCACCAAAGAAGTTATCAGTTGGTGGTGGCCTAATCCGAAACTATCACAAAACGTTAGATCACCGGATATGTCGGTTTACTTGTTTAGGTGTGATGAGCGGGAAGTATGTCTCTGTTTCAGTTTAAATTTCCGATGTATGTTCATGTGTGTTCATGCACACAGACTCTAAAGTGTTAACTGATGATGTAATCGACTCAACTGCACCCGCTGAAGTCGATGACGTTGTGGTAAAATAACATCAGAGGAGAGCCTTCTTGCTCGGAGTCAGGCAGCTCGTAACGGATACGGACTGTGTGTGCAGATGTGGCACGTAAACCGAGAATATGTGTTGCAGTTTACGTTGCAGTGAGTGTCTTGTGTTGAAGGTGGAGGACCCGGATGTAGCGATTCTGGTGATGTGGTGATGTTATGGTGATGCACGGTCTCCTTGATGTGATCTGTAGTGGTGCCATGTTGTCGGTACCGTGTCCAAAGTCGGGACAGTGTGTCCTTTGGTCTTCTTCACCAACACCAGGAACGCAGGGGGAAAAACACACACCTACACACACTGGAGGGAACAGGCGCACTGAGATGAACTGGCGCACTGAGCCGAGCTGACGCGTTGAGCTGCACTGACGCACTGAGCTGCACTGACGCACTGAGCTGCACTGAGCTGAGCTGACGCACTGAGCTGCACTGACACACTGAGCTGCACTGACGCACTGAGCTGAGCTGAGCTGACTTGTGAGATGTAGTGTTTGTAAACAAATGAAGGAAATACAGAATGAATCATGCAGAAAAAAAAACATATTTTGAAAAAAATGAAAAAGTTCCAATGTGCGGGTTTTAAAGAGACGCGCCTATGGACGAGGAACGTAATTAACATCATAGCAACACTGATTATATATCGCGGCCCAATGCCTGGTATAACCACGTCAGTTCAAAATTTGCAATAACAAGCAGATAGCGTGCTATTTTGCATTTTTAAAAGGCACAATGAATATTTTATATAATTATGTAATCTGCAACTACATATGTGTCTTTTATATCAAAATATTATAAACAGTCCTTAAATGTTTGCATACTATTATATTCGTGAGGGACCGAGAAGACAAAAAATACGTAGGTCGCGTTTCCAGGCATTTCTCTGGAAGGGGTCGAACAAATGACCCATCCTGACGGTTAACACAAACAAAAATTGTTAAATTTAACAAATGAACAATATTGGGATCATTCGTCAATGCTTTGCTATGAGACCCATGAAGATCCGGGGTAGAATAGGTCTTTGGCAACCCATGATTGCCGTAAAAGGCGACTATGCTTGTCGTAAGAGGCGACTAACGGGATCGGATGGTCAGGCTCGCCGACTTGGTTGACGCATGTCATCGTGTCCCAATTGCGTGGATCGATATTCATTATGTCAATCACTGGATTGCCTGGTCCAGACTCGATCATTTACAGACCGCCGTCATATAGCTGGAATATTGCTGAGTGCGGCGTTAAACAAGAAAGAAAGAAAGCAAGCTTGGCTATGAGGTATATGAAACCACAGTCACAAATAGCCCTTTCATTAATACTGGACACTTCACATTCATAAGCAAAGATAACGGCTACCGTGTTATGTTACGCATAAACCAGAACCATCAAACCCCGTGCTGTATAAGTGCAAGTATAATTATGTATATGAGTGGACATTAGTAAACGAAAAATCGATACTGGTCATTTGATTCATCCGAGTAATCCGTCTTGTCTCAACATTTGGGTCAATTACAACCAAAACAGCCAATACAATTGCCATTATCATACACAATGCCCGGCCTAATCTGTTCGATCGACTGGGCCCGGGGAGGCACAAGTGTTGTATTGGAAGAGCATGATACAAAATATATAGAGAATCTCGGCAAAGTGTCATTATAGATATTAAATATATCAACACGAGTTGACATGTTTGATATTAAAAGACACGAGAGTGAGATTCTCCTTATCCAATATCATCCTTCCAAATGTGTCATCAGTAACCGTTAATAACCAGTGTCTTGGTGTGAAAAGAGCTCACCAGCATCCGCACCAGGGAGATTAGTGATGTCATATGATTGTGGTGTCGTGGTAACCGATGATGTCACAATGGTCTGCAATGGTCTGCAAATCTCAAGTTACCGATGTTATATCTGGCGCTTAGTCAGCACTCAAAGAATACTAGTTAGCGAGTTTAACTGTAACGTCGCATCGGCATTATTTCACCCAAGTAGCGACCAATCAGATCTGGTTTTATTTTTAAAAATATAACTTGATTTAGAAATTCGTTAAAAATACTAAATAACTAAGGTTTTTCTTTTTCATAATACACAACTGGCATCTTATCTTTGAAAATCAATAAAAAAACAAATTTTCGGCACAAATTTAAAACATTTGAAACGTGGTAGGGGTCATGTTGTTTAAAATTGATTTCTTACCCCAGACTTCATTGAACCATTGTATATTTACACAAAATTACGCAGCAACAGATTTTACAAACTGTTGCAGAAATGAGTGGTGGTTAAATAGTTTCAACAACAGTTCTTTCTGTTTTCAGTTACATAAAAAACAAACTCGGTATACTTTTGTCCCACGGCTTATAACTGGAATATTGTTCAAAGTGGCGTTTAACCAACTCTCTTACTCGTTCACTCCTACAATCAGCCGGCACTCAGTGATGTAACTGAGGAACAGTTCAGAGCAACCGTGCGCCTTTTCGCTGCGTTTTCGTAGATGTGAATCACTTGATTGCCTGGTCCACAGTCGATTATTTACACACCGCCGTCATAAAGCTGGACTATTGTGAGTGCATCGTTAATAAACAAAAAGGGACCTGTCTGAAATTTATCGAGAGAAAAAACCAAATTGTTCCTGAAAATTCGTAAAAAGAAATGCTTCAGACCTTTGAAAATAAGATTGCCTGCCACAAAAATTACATTTTCTCAAGGTGTTTTCCTAAAAAAAAAGAAAAAAAAAGTATCCGGTTAAAGAATGGTAAATGTACCAGAATAAATGATACACATCAGAGGTGTTAAAAAGAAGTGTTAAAGGTGTTACAATTCTGTTTAAAACAAAACAGAAAAATAAAAACATACTGTCTACTCTTGTTTATTTGTCTACCTTACAAAGACACGTGGTACTATATAATGACATTGTTTGTGGCACAAATTTTAAAACACTGGTGTCCGTGTCCGTCTTTATATGTTGATGTTAACTGCGCGGTTGGAGTTAAAAACACTCTCATTCTAAACTGTTGAGTCTTAAGCAAGAAGATATTTAATATGTCCAAAAATGATAAAATTCGAGGATAAAATTAGAATTGTAAAAATTGCCTGTGACTAATGAACTTTCTCTCTTTACCGAGACGTTAAACCTCATTTCGCATCACCTAGCCTGTGTGTCGTCAGTGCTAATGTCCCAATGACGTGCAAACTGAATAATTTAGAGACCATTTTCTTTGGTTTCTGTAGCTCAACACTATCCATGTTACTGGTGCAAATATGTTTCCCTTAGGAACCCCTAACATGTCGATTTTAGTCACGAACCCCGAGCAAGAAATACTGTTCAGAAATTGTCAGAGTAAGAAAATATATACTGCCAGGCAAAAGAAAGTATACAACCATGTTTGATCGTGGATAAAAATGAAACAAGAAATGGTTATTCGATGGTTGGTTGGTTGGTTTGTTGTTTGACGCCGCACACCATCCCTAACGGTTCCCTAAGAAGCCTGTCCCCATTGAAGTAGGACGGGCGGAATCCTAACCTGTATCCACCCCGAACTTCGTGGATGGAGATAATAACATCCTAAATTCAGTTCAAGCCTTTGGAAGGCATTTAGAAGTGATACACATAAGGAAGAGAATTATTAAACTGATGAAGGACTAAGGATATACTCCGAAACCTTGTGTTCCTCATAATAAAGAAGTAGACATCCATATAATTTTCTTCCCTAATGCAGTTCTTTTCGATGGAAAGAGGCGACGATTCTGACAAACTAACCAGTTTCTTGTCGCCTCAAACACGTTTCAAAGCAACCCGTTTTATAAAATAGGATTTCATTCGTATTCGATTATGATTGTGTTTCATGATAATTATGTAGTTTGAATTTATTCCAAATTTGTACGTCTTGTATCCTGGTAAATATTATTTGAAGCAACAAAATAATGAAATCAAGGTACTCTTTTGTCTCATCAAAAGGTTTAACAATATTAGGTTTGCATCGTGAAACACAAACTGATATCCATCAGGACCAGGGGACATGAAAACACTAAATACATGTACATAGTTTATTCAAAAAGAGTAATAGATAAAAATTTGACAAGAGGAAAGAGATTAAAATATGACGAAAATATAACATAATACACCTCCAAGATTATTACATGACAAGTGACGTCCCGAAATGAGACTTCGATTTTCACAGAATATTTGTCAAGCTCCGCCATTCTACTAAGGGAGATAGCTGTTTCACGAACCTCCTTTATGATTGTACACAGATCGTGCTTGTTTGTAACTGATCATAGATATTCCAAATACACAAATCAGCGTTCATGCAACACACAAATACCATAGATAACACATATGACGTCTTCATGGCTTCTTGACAAGCGTGTCTCGAGGGGGTCTTCCGATTGAAGGCGGAGAAGAGTGAACTGAAACCGATAAACATTTTATTTTTTAAAAAGACATTGAAATACAAGCGTCGTTTCAGACCGCGTCGAACATACAAGTCAGGCGTTCATTTCAGGGGGGCACGGGTGGCTCAGTCGTATGTGGCGCCGTAATCAGCTTTGCATAGTTGACTGGGTTCAAATCCTAGTTAGTTCAGATTCAAGGTTTGTCAGGACTATACCCTTGTTCGTGGGTTTCACCAAAGTGATAAACATCATGCATTAACACCGCACTCCGCAATATTCCAGCTATATGACGGCGGTCTGTAAACCAGACAATCCAGTGATTAATAACATGAGCATCGATCCACGCAATTGGGATCGATGACATGCATCAACAAAGTAAGCGAGTCTGTCCACCCGATCACGTTAGTCGCCTCTTACGACAAGAATGGTCGCCTTTTACGGCAAGCATGGGTTGCTGAAGACCTATTCTACCCCGGATCTTCACGAATATGAACGTTATTCCAATTATATCACGACGTGTTAGCTTGGGAGGAAAGCCCGAAGCGGTAATAATCTTAATCAATTTATACTGTGGTGGAAGCCACCAGTGAAACCCACAAGTTTGATGCTGACAAACCAAGAAACATAATCACGACTAAGCGTGGTTAGAACTACGATCATGTGTTTCTAGTAAAACTACGGGACGCAACTCTGCACAGCGAATTGCTTCGCCTTCTCGACTGGGCCAACCGTACCCCCGAGGTGGGCATCGGTACAGTACCACAACAGAAAAAGGGTCATCATAACTGAAGAGAAAACAACACTTCCCATTTTAATTCTTGAATCTAATTTGTTCAAAAGCTCTCCGCGCTTTGGCCAGTCTCGGACAAAGGTATTTACAAAATTCAACATGCTATTTTCAGGGGTATATATTAATGATAAACATGAAAAAAAATGTTCACAATATTGGCAATTCTTTTACGAATATGGAATTTAGTTGCCTGAAATTGAAATAATAATAATAATTTCGTTAAGAAAACATCATGCATGAGTGTGTATTGTTGTTTTACTGCGCAGTCACGCGTGAGGATCCGGGGTAGAATTGGGCAGCAGCAACCCATGCTTGTCGTAAAAGGCGACTATGTTTGTGGTAAGAGGCGACTAACAGGATCGGGTGGTCAGGCTCGCTGACTTGGTTGATGCATGTCATCGTATCTCAATTGCGTGGATCGATGCTTATGATGTCAATCACTGGATTGTCTGGTCCAGACTCGATTACTTACAGACTGCCGTCATGTAGCTGGAATATTGCTGAGTGCGGCGTTAAACAACAAACAAACAAAACTGCGTAGTCAGCAATATTTCAGCCATATCACGGCGACCTCTTCATAATCGAATGTCTGCTGGGCAAACAAGTGGTCGATAGCATGAGTGATGATGACCCATTCCGTCCAGGTAGGATTACACAGTCACCATCAGCCTATTCTGCCCCGGAATTACCAACGAGTACATTTTTTGTGGACAATCGAAACAATTGGTTTGAACTTACATTAAATACAACCAGCCCTGGAAGAGAACTGTTCGCGGACAGACCTTAAACATTTAACCAACAAGCACCCGTTCTTTGTCTTAAACATAACATTACATGTGAGATGAGTGAGTGAGTTTGTTGTAACGCCGATTTTAACAGTATTCCATTTATATCACGGCGTGTCAGCTTAAAGTGGGAGGAAAGCCCCGACATCAGAGATGAGGAGAAATTGAATATATCGTCGCGTTTAAAACCTCAGTCTCACAACGATGTGCATGCACAGGCGTGTGCGTGCGTGCGCACGTGCATGGGTGGGTAGGTGCGTGCGTGCGTGTGTGCTTGGCTGCTTGTACTTGTTTTATAGTGCCGCCGTTTGACATTGATACCCGATATTCGGGCAAACGCTCTCTTCACCACACCACGGAGGAGGCGGTCGTCTTACTGAAGAACAGTTCAGATCTATATATTAAAGGAAGTGGGAAGGTGAAGGTCCGAGTTTGAGTCCAGACACTGTGTGCGACTATAGTTGATTCCCTGTTGTAATTCTCGAGGTATATTCTTATACTGCTCTTGATGTTATAGTGCTGGCCCACTGAGATACCATGCCGCAGTTTAACATGAAAACCCCACTCAGACACAACCTACTGTCTCCGAGCCGACCAGTCCTTGTTTTAGCCCCTTAATGCCGAGCACCAGGCAGGGTAACAACAAGTCCTATCATTTAAAGTTGTTTGGTATTACGCGGCCTGGGCCCCGACCTTCCGCTCTCAGGGCAGACGCTCTACCACTACACCACCAAAGCAGGAAGAGCCGTAGTATTATTGAAATACTGTACAATATTTTAGAAGGTTTTTACGACCTCGTGTGCTCTATGTAAATGAGCTGAATCAGATGTCTCGTTCATAGACAATAACTCATAACCGCCAAGCTAAATCAAGCCCGCGACGTTTATAATTTCCGGGTTTCAAATCGCCTAGGCATGAATTTCACGCCGCGAGAAGAATATGACACATGACTGGGTTTCCTGAAAAGAACAATATCAATGCAAAGAACTGAGATTATCTTGGAAATGGTGACGTCTGTGTCTACGCCACTGCGCTACCAGGATATTTATGGATTTTAATATCATTCTTATTGAAAATCATTTTTTCCCCAAAGGGCCCGTCCTTCCATCGCATTTCTTATTAATAGCGCCAAGTCACAATTAGTTCATCAGGTACAATTGGAGTGAGCAGGGCTTAAATTTAGCCATCAAGTAAGGACAGTGTTGCTTTTAATCGGTTTTGTAATTATTATTATTACATTGTTATCGTAACAGTGAGTTCAGTTTAACGCCGCTGTGTAGGAGAAAACCTGAGGGAGTGCATGTCGAACGTTAATGGGACGTTTGTTTGTTTGTTGTATAACGCCGCACTCAGCTATATCCAGCTACATGTATATGACGGCGGCCTGTACATAATCGAGTCTGGACCAGGTAATCCAGTGATGTATATTGTTAACAATGATATTGTGAAGACGCAATCAACCAAGTCATCGAGTCAGACCACCGATCCATTTGGTCGCCTGTTACGACCAGCATAGGTGACTTTTTCTAAGCGAAATTTAACCTTAAAATTCGGGACTGCAGGAAATACAAACAATAGTTATTTTTACACAGAAACCGGAGACTCGAATTTCTTGTTTCATGAACTCGATGTTTCATAGCGAAGTAGAATTTAATGTTTAAAAGGCACAAAAATAATGTCAAATATCATTGCTGTTAAAACATCCTGCAAAATAACATGACAAGTAGAATTCAGTGTTTAAAGGCACAAAATAATGTGAAATATCATTGCTGTTAAAACATCCTGCAAAATAACATGACGCACAGGAAGGCAAGATGGGATGCAGGAAGCGACTGTGTAGATCTTGCCATGAAAATATGTTAGTGGTTGGTTGGTTGGTCTGTATGACGGCGGTCTGTAAATAATCGAGTCTGAATCCAGTGACTGACATCATGACCATCGATCCACGCAATTGGGATACAATGACATTCATCAACCAAGTCAGCGAGTCTGACCACCCGATCCCGTTAGTCGCCTTTTACGACAAGCATAGTCGCCTTTTACGGCAAGAATGGGTTGATTAAGACCTATTCTATCCCGGATCTTCACGGGTCTAAAAATATGTTAGTCATAGATAGGTATGCAGAAAGATGTATACAAAATTCGGCTAATGCTGAGAGGCAACGTGCGTGGAATGATGTATGCATGCATGCAGCTAATAGACAATCTGCCTTAGCACCGGAGACCACATATACACTTTAACCACAACTCTGTACCCATATCCCAAGAACGCTAAATTAAGTTCAACAAATCTAATAACTATGCAAAGTATGTGTTAAAATTCATTATTTACACATTATTATACAACACCAATTAATCAGTTAATTATTCGTAACATCAATTAATCAATTATTTATTTATAACATGTTATGGTCAGAATGAGAGTAGAGTTTACGTGACTTCTATGAATAGAGGTTGAGTGAGTGAGGAGTATCGCCGCTACGAACACAATTCAACCACAAGTGTATCATATCTCGATACTATCATGATAAATACCCTGCGCCTATTCGCCACCCTACATTCGTTTACCAACGACGCGAAACTAAATTTAACATAGCCATTCAATAAGTTACTCTCATTTGCGAGAGAATACATGGCCCAGTTTCACAAAGCAATCGCAGCTCTATGACTGTCGTAAATTTATGCTTGTATTAGTGAAATCACTTGGCATATATTTTAACCATGACTATGTTTATGGAATTGGTGTCTCATAGGCCTGTTTGTCCGGGTGTTGCACACCATATGCGTACTTTCTGTGGTATTTAGCGTAGAAAACGTGACATTTTAATAAAACATTATTATTATTTTATGTTAAAGGGTGGGAGTTACGACCGTCTTAGCGCTATGATCGCTTTGTGGAACGGGGCAATAAAGATGGATGATGCCATTTCCGAAACGAGAATTTGGAGAATGGATTCAGGGTATTTCTCATAATATTTAATAAAATGGACATATAATGCACTGGATAAGCTAGGATGTAACTAACAGTATTTCAACTATTCAATTCGCATCTCTAAGTTATTTGCGCTGCCTCACACTTCATTGGTTCTAAGGGATAAGCGTTTACGAATTGTCTGTCTGAATAGGAAAGTATAAAAAGATAACACAGCGACAACAGTGTATTAACACAATGAGAAGAGCGTAGTAACACAATGATAACATCGTAGTCACGCAATAAGTATCGTACATTAAAACGAGAATAGTTTGTTTGGTGTTTAACGCCGCAATCTGCAATATTCAATATTGGAGCAGACAAACCAGTGATTGACATCATGAGCATCGATTCACGCAAATGGGATACGATGACATGCCGCCAACCAATTCACCGAGCCTGACCACCCGATCCATTCAGACGAATCGTTCAGCAAAGGTTGCTGGGGACCTACATAGCTCTCCGGTACACTAGAATAGTGTATGAACACATTGCGAAAAATGAGCCTGTTAGCCCAATAAGAATAGCGTTCGAACACATTGCAAATAGCGAGCAAGCACCTACAAACCCACCCTCTGACGGGACATAGAAGCGTCCGTCCCCGAAAAGCGAGTAATGTCTCCATATCGAGAGTCAAATAAAATTCACCTTAAAATATGTTAACCTATCGTATATAATATCCTTATGGGGCACATTCTAAAGTTTATGGATGCATATTTTCACAGAGCGTATATGTTCGTACATATTGGGGCCGACAATTTCATCAGATATGCTTGTTTGCTTGTTTGTTGTTTAACGCCGCACTCAGCAATATTCCAGCTATATGACGGCGGTCTGTAATTGAAACCCCGACATCCGACCCCCCCCCCCACCACCACCACCACCAGCCTATCAAATCATCGGCCCCACAGAGTTATATACGAGCTTTATCTAATGCAGTGGTAGCATGCACTTACTTGGTCGCAGAGCCAATGGTGTCGATGGCACAAAACCTGTACATGTAGGTTTTGATTGGTGAATGACTCATCATTTTCAAATTAACAAAACAATATTCAGAGCAACTTTAACAACAGTTTACAAACAAAATATAGGGGTTGTGTAGTATGTATTTTTTAATTGTATTAATAAATTACAATTTTACTTTTGACACACTTGACAATGTGTCGTCACATGACATAGTAACTGAAAAACTATCAATCATGCACTCACGATACATGTCTTGAGAGTACAACATGTAAAGTTTTCGAGCAAGATTCAAGAGGCAAGTTTTGATTCAACAAACAAAATTGTAGTGATTTAATGCTGTGTCAGCACCATAATTGTATCAAAACATGAATCAATCAAGATAGAGAAAATGTTGTTCAAAGCCCCTTTCATCAATATTCCATCTGTGTCAGGGCAACGTGTTAAAGTCAAGTGAGTCAAAACAATTTCGGGTGACATTTCTTTTCTATTACTCACCATAATCCGTGACCATGTTGTTAGTGTCTGGCGGTGGCGTCAACTTGACCTTGACCTGATATAGCTGAATACAGACAAATACTGGCCTTGCCAGGTCAAGGCCGTGTACAGTGGCACTCTTCTTAACAGTCATGACCCTGTAGGTCACGCGTCCGTCGCCCTTGATCTGCAGCTTTACGTCGAGGTCGGCATCGACGTCAATACTGAACAGCGGGAAGAGCCGGCCCGTGGTGTCCACACTGCTGTTCAATGTCAACAGAACCGGTATTATATTTGTCAGAAACACTTTCACATAGGCGACCGAGGTGAAATTCATTTGAGCAATGCTGAAGTGGATTGCCTCCCCCTTCTTGAGCGGATGATCTATTACACAGAGGGCGCCACCGTAAGGCTTGACGAGACCTGCGCATGTCGCGCCGTTAGAGATTACAATGTTTGGTCCCGAGGTCTCGCTGAAGGCAATAGTACGTGGAGCATTCATTAAGAAGCCACAACCTTGGTTCTGGCTAGTTTCTGAAAAAAAGAAATAGTAAACTTGTCTAAGAACCGTTCGAAAGTGACTGATCACAAACTAAAAACGTATCAGACTAAATCATTCCTGTAATAATTTCTCTCAACAATGTAAGGCTATTACGGTGAGTGTCATCATACATATTAAACATGAAACAAGCTGCAGGTAAAACGTCTTCACGAATATTGGTAGTTTGCGCTAATCATATTCCAGTTATAGCACGGCGGCCTGTAAATACCCGAATCCCGGCGAGACAAACAAGTGGTTGATAACAGGAGCAAAGTCCCAAGCTGTCGGTGTACCATGACACACAATTAACTAAACCGAGTTCTAATAATTTAGTCGCCTATTAGGATATGCATCATTGCAAGGAACCAATATAACATCTGTGTCATCTAATGGTTGAAGAAAATTGAGTGACAGAGTTGCGTTTAACGCCGCGTTGATAATTATTTTAGTTGTATCAGAGCGAGTAAGCCCAATGTGGGAGGAAAGTGATGCAAGTCGTGGACGGGTGGTACCCAGCGTTCGAAATAAGCAGGACCGTGAAAGACAGAGCTCGAAATGAACCCGAAGTTTCAAATTTATATAGGCCCTTATGGCCTGCAATGCATTTGCGTGTCAATTTATTTGTCACAATAAGCTACAGTTCTTCTAAATAAGGGCCTGAAGAGTTTAGTCAGGGTCTGCCGCTGGGGTCTGTGGGTCCTGATGGCAGCTTGACATTATTTTTATATCAAGCACTTGTAGTACCCCGTCTGAAGTATCAAACATCTCAAGTCTTAATAAATATACACGTCACGATGTGGCCATCCTCTATATTCTCTAGGACTCGCATTTCGGTAAACCTACACTTTCCGCTGGATCCATTCCCGTGAATCTCGCGATCTCGAGTGACATGCCCTTGAAATGCATTAGCCAACGGACCAATCGGAAAGCGAGTTACAAACCAGCCTCAATGTAGGTTTGGCGACATCAACCACATTACGGTCAGGCCCATTGATTACGCTACGAGTCTGCGACAAATTCTGACATTGAAAAACTGACTGAAACGCAAAAAAAGCCCCCATCAATGTTTTTGTTAAAAAGGGCGTCTTAAAGGGTCCATTAAATCTGGCGGTGTTTTTGCTTTCTAGGCCATAGGAGTTACCACCCTTACAATTTCCCCCTCATTTCGGCGTATTATTGGTCGGTAAAATGTTAATAAAAATCAAGGGCGGGTAAATTTGAGATCGCAACCACGTGAATGAGTCAAGGGGTTAGTTTAGGTTTAACGAAACGCGATACTGGAGATATAGAGGATGGAATATTGTCGATGTGACGTGACATTTTAACCCACTCACTAAATATACATATTAGGTACTACCGTGAGTAAGCAATATTTAAGTTATGTCACGGCGTGTCAGCATGATCTGTGGAGATACGTCTATGTCGCCGATATGAGATGCTGCATGCCACACACTACACATTGGTACCCTTCTTATAGAATCGCAAATGTACCAGTCTAAATAACAATACGTGTGTACCTGCAGTGTGAATTGGTTTGTTTTAACGCCGCTTTGAACTTCCAGTATTTCAGTCATATTAAGGCGGGCAAGTTTGATGTGGGAGGAAAAGTCCAAAGTAAATAGGTCTTAGACCATTACCACTTTGGTGCTGACAAACCATGAAACATATTTCGAGCGTTTCTTGGATTCGAACCCACTATGATAGGTTCATGCACGCTTAATGGGCGCAAGTCTGCAAAGCGTGTGTTCATATGTACATACTCGTGTCCAAATATGTATAAAAAACATGATAAATAATAAAATAGATAAATAAAATAATAAACGAATGCTTACCAGAATCTATCTTGATTTTCATATCGCCTGATTGAACATCCAGGCATACCCATAGCCCAGCCCCTTTGCTCAGATGGCGATGCTCAACTGTATCCACGAGTTCCTTCCCTTGGTGCACGGTCACCGTCTGGGCACTGGCGCGTTGAAGGGAGATAACTAGGTGGTCCTTCTTGAACCGGAAACGATGCCAGTGGACGCCTTCTTGCAGCGAGCCACCATCGCCAGTACTGATCAGATCATGTGGCAGAGTTTGCAGGAGGCCGATAGCAAGGTGGCCACTTCCTTGTACAGTTAGATTTACAATATCTTCCTTCAGCATGGGTTTGTTGGTAATGCACAGTCCCTGGTGTTGCTTCAGGAGCCATGATGCTACAGAGTTGTTCTCGCTCAACACAATGTTGATTCCATGGTTTGATGAAAACAACATTGTGTGAACTCATATCACATTATTGCCTGTAAATAGAGAAAGAGACATAACTAATACAACGCTTAATATATTTTTGAGCCTTTAAGTTTGGCAATTACTCGAACTTTCTTTAGGTACTCAAAATATACTTCTCAAAAGAAATTAAGGAACACCCGATTCTTTCATAGAATGGTCAATCGGCCTTGCCATGAACTAGTCGAGTGGCCTTTATCTTCTTTTGAGTAGTATTCATTATCCCATGATTGGATCCTGTCTTTGATGGAATTTTAAACCACTGAGTGGGAAATAATTCTTGTTATAAAAATAAATGCTTTTCAGCTGCATGTGATTTCTAATGTGCATCTGTTCATGTTCCGCCAGTGTGGCACAAAAGCGATGTACGGTGCATATCTAAGTTACAATAAACGAGATGTGCATTATTCACTGCAGTAGCGTTCATGCACTGAATACCTGCAATGGGTAATTACGCAATGTGTCAAGTAACTCAACATTAATTGGGTAATGGTGAACGTCTCTGTATATTTAACGCAAATACTCTGGAGCTTTGAACAAGAAAGGTTTCTAAAACAAATCAGCTGACGTGGTGGCCTTATGGATTATCCTGTCGACTTGAGGCATAAGGCATTTCGTGGTCAAAGGAAGCAAATAGAAAACAGCAGCCTTGGATAATAAATCAAAGCCAAATGTCATATATCAATTTGTGGTAATAAATGTCTAACTGAGATAACTATAATGTACATCACACAATGTTCACGTGGGAATCTGAACGTGGCTAGGAGAAACTTCCAGGGAGCGGGTGACAAACATTACTGCACTACTATTTTAAGACTAACATTTAGCCACATAAATGAAGTTCTTATAATAAAATATATGAAAACACAATGCCACTTAGAAAGTGGTAAAATGTAACAAATGTTATATTTGGGATAACACTTTCTTAGTAAAGTACTAATTCTGGTACATTTTAGGGTTGGGTCCCATCCGGGAAAATAAAATATATATATCCCCAAAATCATAATAAAAATAAAAATCCAAATAGAGTCCAGCACAAAACTTAATTTCAGCAGAGGCAATCTGGACTTGCCATATCATTCTAGACTTGACTATACTCTTTTAAGAAATGTCATATGTCTTGGTACATCTGTGTACAAGATGATGGTTAGGTCCTAAGTTGCACAGTTGGATCACTCCATTATATGTCCATTCAGTTTTATTAAAACAGACAGACTATACTTTTTAAATAAATTTAATATGTCTGGGTACATCTGTGTACAAGATGATGGTTAGGTCCTAAGTTGTACAGTTGGATGACTCCATTATATGTCCATTTAATTTTATTAAAATTCTGTTTGAAGATATGTGGGTATTCCTTCAGAGTGTTAAGATATCCAGCGACATTCAGAGGTACTGCCGGTATCTCCCCAGCAATCTATAAAATATTGGACGTTCCTCAAACACTAAAATATTTTGACATAATAATATGTCCAATAATGTGGAAACATCTTCATTAAGGAAAGTACGGGGTACCCATCACATTTTCGAAATGTTTCTTTTTTCAAGTTCGGGAAACTCATGGGGCTGTTTAGGCATGCCTTTGGAATTAAATAGTGCCGACATGAAGAATATCTTCATACATTAAACAATATGCGATTCGAAATCTTTGTCTTGTATTCTTGAGATCAATATTCTGTTACAATTGTTTGGGTCACAGGTCACGAAAGTCAATTTACCCTGTTTCCTGGAACCATCATCTTCAAACTGGGTGAATGTCATTTCCAGCGTCATAATAAGCATTTGTAATGTAGAAAGTAAGTACGTTTCTCTTCGTTGACAAGGATAACACCTTTTACATATTTGAATTCCAAGCTTTTGTGAATCTTAATGTGTATTGTACACGTTCATTATGTACTATGGTCATTTTTTATGTGTTTCTCCTGATTACTTTTGCGAACGAACATTTTTCACTGGCGTTGCTTAATAAATATTGTCAGAGGGTATCTTTAATTTATTTTTTATTTCTATTTGTTTCTTCAGTTTGTTTGTTGTTTAAAGCCGCACTCAGCAATATGCCAGCTATATGACGGCGGTTATCATGAGCATGACGGTAAGCATGGGTTGCTGAAGATCTATTCTACCCCGGATCTTCACGGGTCCCACGGTATTGCAAATGTCCACCCCAGCGATTGTTACATTTAAATCAATGGTCCCCTTATGTTTTGTAGGTAGAATGCTGTAGTCACCCTACTGATAAAAAAACCCCAATGTTCACAGTACAGAGTGAGTGTGGTTTTACGCCGCTTTTAGCAATATTCCAGCAATACCACGGCAGTGGACAGTAGAAATAGGCTTCACACATTGTACTCGTGTGGGGAATATAAACCAGGTCTTCCGCATGAAGACCCAACACTTTAACCACGAGGCTACCCCACCGCCCCCAAAGTTTACAGTAACCTACGCTGGCCGTAAGAGGGGACCAGACAAATCAGGTGGTCAGACTCGGTGACATCGTGGATTGTGTGCCTTCCTACCCCGACGGCGTGGATCACTGCTCTTAATATCAGTCATTAGATTGTCTGGTTCACACATGATTATTTAAAGCCGCCCTCATACAGCTGGCATATTGTTAAGTGCGGCGTAAAACAACAAATGCAATGCATAAACAGCATGTTAACGTAGAAAGCCCAGCGTTATACTGTTATCAACTACTGAAATTGTAATCACCGTATTTCCATATACTGAATAAAAATGAAAATGCCTCGATTGTATTCGATCAATTGTCATACCCCCTGAAAGTGATTCAGTATAAAGCAATATGGATGCCGTTGCTGCCAGATTTGCCAACACAACAGGGTGCTAAAGAGAAGCGCTGATAATTAATAATAAATAATAATTATGACACTTAAACACACAGGAATGAGGTCGTGTAGATCACCTTCAGAGAAAGACATGTGTTACTAACATTAGATAAATTTCAAATAATTTTAAATAAACGGACGGACAGTTCAATGACCGACATCGAATTTGAAGTGGCTTCTGAGAAAATAACAAAATGTAATATAACTTGGCGCAAGGTGATAAATTATGTGAAAGGGAAAACAGGGCCAGGCGTTTACAACTGTTAGGGAGACCCATTACCAATTATGGTGCTGACAGATCAAGGGCCATAATCGGGGCGAATCTGGGATTTTGAATCCAAGATCAGAGGATCCTGGCATGACTAAGTGAAGGCACTCTGCACAGTAAAATACGGCCCCTCGGACGCCCCAAGAAGATTAATTGAGGATTATTATGAACAGACATTAACTCGTGGCGTTTCAAACCCAAACTCATATATGATGGACCCGTGAAAATCCGGGGTAGAGGTCTGCGGCAAGCCATTCCTGCCGTAAAAGGCGACTATGCTTGTCGTTAGATGCGACTATCGCCATTGGGTGGTCAGACTTGGTTGATGCATGTCATTGCATCTCTATTGCGTGGATCGATGCTCATGATGTCAATGACTGGATTGTCTGGTCCAGACTCGATTACCTACAGACCGCCGTCATATAGTTGGAATACTGCTGAGTGCGGCGATAAACAAGAAACAAAATCATATCTAATGAGCTAGAGACTGAGTTCATGTCGTCACCACTATTTCCGTTGTTTCATCGCTGAATGTAAGTCATCAACCAGTGGTTCATACCATCAGCAACCATCAGCAACCATCAGCAAGGTCACATTTTGAAACCAAACATTCCTCATTCGTCGGCAGGCATGGGTTGCCGATCGAAAACAGTTACAACTGATACTACAGTCCAACGAAACCTACTTTTTGCTTTATTAAGCGGAAAAGCATCTCTTAAATTATCACTCAATTAGTTTTGAATATACTTTTTACACAGCACCATGTTCTGACTATATACTAGCGCTTTTCTAGATCTAAAAAAAGGGGGGGGGGGGGGGGGGGGGCTTTGGATTTTGTATGGAGACAATATATTTCTTCTATATGTTCTTAATTAAAGCTATGTGTCTATATGTTTTTAAAAAAAAACACATTCTGAAACAAATTATTTTCAAGCATGTTCTGGAAAAGAAATATTTCCCGATAAAATCCCTGGCTTAAATGGTCGGCCAATTATTTATCGTATGTACTATAACACTAGTGTACAATATTAGAAAGCTAAGGTTCTCTGCAGCTCGTCCATGAGTGTGATGTCCAAATTAATTACATTTCATCCTATTGTGGACATTGTCCCAAATTCCGTTTCCGATAAATGCCACCAGGCAGGAAATTAAATAATGAATTAAAGTCACCAGGAATCGACAGGAACGTGTGACATTCAATGATCTGATGTATAAGTACGAAGTAAATGACTTCAGCTCATCCCCTAGCTCCAGGGTATACTAGGTGCGGGGTTGTGGCACACACACACTGTGTGATTGAGCACGCATTAGTAGCTGCATTCTTGCCAAATAGTTGCCTCAATACATGCACGACTTCTGTTAGTTTGCCTGAATACATGCTTGACTTCTGTTGAGTTATTTCCGAAATAATCTCAACGAATGGGCCGTTATTTAAAGATGTCAGAGCTATATAATAGAAATTATAAAAAACAACAACTATTTTTACATCTCTTTTCTGACGCTTTGGTTTGGTTTGTTTTTTGTTTAACGCCGCACTCAGCAAATATTCCATCTATATGCGGCGGTCCTTTTCTGACGTAAATCAGCAGATTTTCTTCACGCTGTGTACACTGCGTATGGCTATACTTACATATAAAAACACTCAACATTGAAATATCCACATTCATGTTTGTTTGTTGTTTAACGCCGCACTTAGTAATATTTCAGCTATATGACGGTGGTCTGTAAATAACCGAGTCTGGACCATACATTCCAGTGATTGACATCATGAGCATCGATCCACGCAATTGGGATGCGATGACATGCATCATCTAAGTCAGCGAGACTGGCCACCCGATCCCGTTAGTCGCCTCTTATGTACGACAAGCATAGTCGCCTTTAACGGCAAGCATGGGTTGCTGAAGACCTATTCTACCCCGGGTCCTCACGGATATCATATACATAAACACTCGCTATACAAATGTAGCAGCAATTATTATACTACATGAACAACAAACTCAACTGTCAATGTGCATTCAATGTCTCATTATTAAATATAAATACCTGTCAGCGCTAGCTATACATCACGAACTAATTGAATAACAATAGTCGATATAACAAGAATCGCAAATTTAACACGTTACAGTCGAAATATAGGAAGTTATATTAACATATAGGTGTATACAATCGTGATATTAATCTAAAATATTACACTGACAATTGATATTTTAATCGTATTATAACATAAAATACAATTTGAATGTATGTACGCATTTTCTAAAAAATCCGACAGTGTGTCTTTAATGCCTTCACAACAATGAATCATGGGTCCCGATCTTATGATAAGGACGAGACTTGGCCACAGTAATTGCCGTGTACCGCTCTACTCGCTCCTAACACTGCCTATACAGCATGGGCCGCAGTTTTAAACACTGGCGCCGAATGCTACAAATGAAAGGTGTCATACCATATCCCTTTCATTGAATAACAGCTATCATTTTGTTAGGTGCAACCACGTGTGGTCCCCTCGCACTCGCTTCAGCTGCTTGTGTGCCATTAGGCATTATATGCACGCATGATCCGTCGCCAAGTGATTATCGGAATACGGTTGAATTCTATCCTATACACTTACCTAATGGAGATAGGAGTCCTCTATAGCTCTGCTGCGGTTTGACGACGATGTTGATACATTGCCATACCATCAAATTCGCGTATATTCACTCCAAATCATTGTTGATATTCGGTCCCTTATCATTTCCGGGTTGCTCTCGTCGAAGTGGATAATCTCCCTTTGGTCCGGTCGTTCCGCATCGTTAAGTAGCTAGGCTACCGTTTGGCGAGCGAAGTGATCGCTATGCGGGAAATGCTTTGCCGTTTTTCTAGAGCTTTCGTTGACAGGGGCGAAATATTTGGGGTCGTATTGTGAGAGAAATATAGAAACATCCTCTATTTCTCGTTGGCATGTTGCTTTTACCTTGATTGAGTTTACACTGTGACGAAATATTGATTTTTTAAAAGTGGAAATTATTCCCGTTCGCAATGCAACAGAACAATTTCCCTTTTAATTCACGTTTAATTTGATATTTTCTTAACCAAATATTTAGATTTAATTGGAAGTATGGATTTCATTGAAAATATTTGATTGCATTTTTGTAAATGCATTAGTGCATTCTCTGTGTGGATTGTGAGAGTTGAACCTAGGCTTGAGAGGCGCATGTATGCATGAGAGGGGACATATTGATCATGTATTCATAAAGAGAGGTGTTATCGACCTAACTGTTTATAAATAGGAAACAGTAGTGAGAGGTGAATTCACCACACCAGCAGAATTTCTTTGAACTATTGTAGGGATATTGAAAACTTATAAAACGTCTCGTGTTTCAATACAGAGCACAAAAGGACTTGAACGGAGAAATGCAGTTGAAATCAATACGTCATTCCTGCTTCGTCAATGCTAGAGACTTAAGGGACCTAGCTAGTTGTTGTGTAAGGCACTGTGCGGTGTCAAGAGGCAGGTCCCGGGTAATGAAAAAAGAGGGTGTTGGGTGGTTGGGTCTCGGCCGGAGGATTTAGGGGAGTGGGTAGGGGGATAGGAATTGTAACCACTCCCGCCTCTGGATCCGCTAGTGTGTACCATATGGTATTGTGTGGTGTTTGGGGTGAGCAGGGACCATATAATCTATTATATGGTCCCTGGGGTGAGGTGGCGGGGGGTGGCGCAACTCTCGGTCCCCCGGGGCCTGTGTTACTAATAGTTGGTGACCCCCTTTGCTACCTACAACTTCCAAAATATCGAAATCATTCCCTCAACTATAAAAGGGTAAACAATAGTTGATATATTTTGTCACCCACATTTGAACTTATGCGACCCTCCCTTATGACTCCGGCCCATACATTCCTACAACAAATGACCGCTCCCGAACTCGGCTGTGGCAGTGGGTGGTCTGATATACAGCATACCATATATAGGGCTAAACTTCTCTCTACACGGCCGTTTAATCCCATGGAGATTGCTGTAAAAAACAGGTTCATGAGAATAACATAACAGCAAAAATCACTCCATTTACTTTTATGGCTGGATTAATTCAGCGAAATAGCGTTTGTCTTATAACGAGGTATGGATGTATAGTTACCCGTTTTAACGATCTGTAAGTGGCATGAACACAAACACATAGTGTTGTCTCCAGGTGTGGAGAAGTTTTAATGAGAATAGAATAATCACATTGTGAGTATTCGATACCACAACCATTTGACAGCCTTCCCATGATTGATACCTCAGAAAGGACTTCCGAGAAAATGTTGACACAAAATCAATTTTCTCTTTGATTTCGTTTCTAAACATTTATTATATCCATACTATCAATGTTATGTTTCTGTTTTAAACTTGGTTTATAGTTCCTTGTTTATTGTTATTCATGTCATGCTAATTTGCATCACGACTTTCTAAATCAACGTCCGTTTGCTGGTTTTACATTCCTACCGGCGGTCACGATGTGGCTGAAATATTGCCGATGTGACGTAATGCACTCACTCACTCCTACCGGCGGTCACGATGTGGCTGAAATACTGCCGATGTGACGTAAAGCACTCACTCACTCCTACTGACGGTCACGATGTGGCTGAAATACTGCCGATGTGACGTAAAGCACTCACTCACTCCTACTGACGGTCACGATGTGGCTGAAATACTGCCGATGTGACGTAAAGCACTCACTCACTCCTACCGGCGGTCACGATGTGGCTGAAATACTGCCGATGTGACGTAAAGCACTCACTCACTCCTACCGGCGGTCACGATGTGGCTGAAATACTGCCGATGTGACGTAAAGCACTCACTCACTCCTACCGGCGGTCACGATGTGGCTGAAATATTGCCGATGTGACGTAAAGCACTCACTCACTCCTACTGACGGTCACGATGTGGCTGAAATATTGCCGATGTGACGTAAAGCACTCACTCACACCTACCGGCGGTCACGATGTGGCTGAAATATTGCCGATGTGACGTAAAGCACTCACTCACTCCTACCGACGGTTCATCGTGTATAATGTTTACTGGGGGGCAGGGGTGGCCCAGTCGTCTAAGGCGCCGCGATTCGCTGTGCAGAGTTGCGTCCCTTGGGCACGCCCGAAACCTATGATTGTGGGTTTGAATGCCGGTTCGCTCCGATTATGTTTCTAGGTTTGTGAGCACCACACCCGTGCTCGTGGGTAAATGTCTGAGACCTGCATCACTTCGGGCTTTCCTCCCACGTTCAGCTGACACGCCGTGATATAACTGGAATACTGTTAAAAGCGGCGTTACACCCAACTCCCTCACTCACTCAAACACTAATGTTTACTGTAATATAGTGTCTGCCCGCATTAGGATAACATCAAACTTAGACCACTTTCCGACTTTAATTCTTATTTTCTTTGTGACGATAAACCGTTTTCCCCCGTCCTTAAGTAAAGTGAGACCCTGTTAAACCGGACGGTAAGCTCCAAGTAAATTCATACGGATTAACGAATTTAGTTCCTTTAACGAATAGAGACGTTCCCAACAGTAATTACCAGAAAGGATGTTTTCGGATTAATCGGGTCCGTTCTAACGACGTCTCACTGCATTCCACAGCACACTGAAACCCATAACCTTCTATGTTTGTCTGATTGCAACTAACAAACATGTTACGTCGATATTTCTAGACGTATTATCCTCGGGGCATATGAGTGGGTGTCAAATCTAAAACACAGTATGATTACAACATGTCATGAGTTCTCCCTTTTTAAAAACTGTTTATGTTGGTGAAAATCAGCACACGCCGCTGTATGATAATATAGAAGGAAATAATGCCCGCCGGTAAAGTAGACCTCGAATACGTTACACATGTCAAATAAAATTGAATCTGTGAAAGAAAATATTTTAGGATTTTCTTTTGTTAAATTGTATTTTAATGTTTAATAGAAAGGAGCCCTGATAAGTTAGCTCTTCCTGAAACTGTTGACATTTTGACTTTTGAATTTTCTGACATTTGGGTTGCATGGTATGTATGAGAGACATCAATCAAATGCTGGGAAGTATTTTCATGACATTTGTATTGATATTTTCTCGATGTCAATGTCAATTTAAGACAATTTGAATATAGAGAAAAGCTTTGGAAAATAATTTTGCTCGAATGAAATAACATAAATGTCGTCGTCATTGTGCTGTGTGAATATGAAAGCTCCCGGGCTTGAGATACTGGTGGCAGATTGTTGGCTCCATCATAGTCGCTAGGTCTGACCCTGAACACAGGGCTCGCTGTTGTATTGACACGGATAGAGTGGGATTTGTTTACTTTGATTTCAGCTCTTGATAAAGATTATTCATGGACTGTTCTCATACGATATGTGTCCTAATATTGACTTACAGTCGTGCTGAAAGAAAAAAATATTGATTGGCATGTTTGGAGTCAACCGTAAACGTCCTCGGAAAGAAAGGGGAATATTTTACGGGCGGTTCTGTCGTTTTTAATCCGGCTACACGCTTCATGGTTAAAGGTAGGGTGTAGCAGCACAGTGGTTAACGTGTTCGCTCATCACACTAACAACCAGGTTTGATTTCACTCATGGTACAATATGTGCAGCTTATTGCTTTTACTTGTCCCTGGCGTGAAATTGTTCGAATGTTGCTTAAAAACGATGTGAAACCGACTCACTTTCTAAATGGGGGCACGGGAGACCATGTCGTCTGAGGTGCCGTAATCCGTTGTGCAGAGACGCTGGGCCTAAATGATGTTTCTGGGTTTGTCAGCACCACATCCGGGGTCGTGGGTTTCGTCAAGGTGGCAAACGACTTAGGCCTGCATCACTTCGGGCTTTCCTTCCACATCAAGCTGACACGCCATGATATAACGCGAATGCTGCTAAAAGCGGCGGAAACCAGACTCATTCATTTACTTACTGTGTGATCTTAACCGCATAGTTCAGATACCTGGTAAGTTTAAAGTGTAGCTAGATGTTTGTAATATGCTCCTCTACTTATAACAGAAGTACTATTAATGTACTCAATACACAATCTTGTATGGTTGGTTGGTTAGTTGTTAAATGCCGCACTCAGCAATGTTCCAGCTATATGACAGCGGTCTGTAAATAATCGAGTCTGGACCAGACAATCCAGTGATTGATATCATGAGCATCGATCCACGCAGTTGGGATACGATGACATGCATAAACCAAGTCAGCGAGTCTGACCACCCGATCCCGTTAGTCGCCTTTTACGAAAAGAATAGTCGCCTTTTACAGCAAGCATGGGTTGCTGAAGACCTATTCTACCCCGGATCTTCATGGGTGCAATACACAATCTACTACAGGTCAACGCATATAGCAAAAGCTGATGTCTCTTTTTGTTTGGTTTGTTGTTTTAGATCGTAATTGACACTATTCTACCTACAAATATATATCACGGTAGCCTATATACAATCCACATAAACCAGTGGTTGAAATAATGAGCAACTTCAGGGAACAAAGGCGTGTAATCAACAAAGTCACCCAGTCCTTTTCAGTCGCCTCTTACAAGCATAGGTTTCTGGAGACATATCCCCGAGCGCAATCACCGGGGAAACAGGCAAAGAAAAGCTACTGGTGACTCCAGAGCCTCGACGACAGACAAAGCAAGGCCATGCTTTCTAGGTTCAATCAGCCACAAATAACCCATGCTTGTCGTAAGAGGCAATTAACGGGATCGGGTGGTCAGGCTCGCTGACTTGGTTGATGCCATCGTATCCCAATTGCAGGATGCTCCGGATGTCAATCACTGGATTGTTTAGTCCGGACTCGATTATTTGCAGACCGCCGTCATATAGCTGGAAAATTGTTGAGTGCGGCGTTAAACAACAAACAGTCCATAGAGGCTTACGGAGTGAATGTGATTTAACACCGCTTCTTCCAATAATTCAGCCACATCTAGACAGGGGAAACGGAGACTGTGCTTCACACAATATGTTGTTGTTAAACATCACACAAACAAAACATCAACCAGCCATCATATATTGCACGCTGAACATATTAACGAACAAAATATGTCACTGGTTATTAAGATTTAATTTCGTCAGTAGTCAAGTGTATATATCCCTTCCTTTCTACACGGTGCCCTCTTTCAAACAACTTGGGCTCAATATATTTTGAAGATCTTAATTCACTTCAACATAATACCTGTATGTCTCATGTTGCGTATATGCAAACAACAAAACCATAATCAGGCATCAGATCCTAATGTTTGGCGGCTCTTATGATAAACTTGCATTTGGAGTCCAAAAGACATTTGTAAAAACAAATAAACACAAAAGCCTTTAGGAAAAAGCAATGAGGGTAGAGCAGTACACGTCAATCGGTAAAGGGAGCGGCATTCAAAAAAATTAATTTAAATCTCAATGATGATGCATTTGCAATTACGCATTTTCGTGACGATTCTGGTTCGCTGGTCACAGCGTGGCCAACGTAATACTGTTTCTGCCGATAATTTTGGGATATATGCAGACTAGTAGTTATGGGATGTTATCAGAAATTATTGTAAACTTCAGAACACAAAGTTCATCGTTCTGATTCTAATTGATTATTCTGTCAAACATATTTCTTCAGGTTCTTTAGGTGCTTGAAAATTGCATGTTGTCGCCTCTTTGGTGTCCATTATTCGTTCACCTTGTCAGTGATTGGTTTAGATGAACACAGCTGTTGTTAGGCATCTGAAAGGAAACGTACCAGTAAGAAGGCGTTCGCCAATATGTCATAATATATAGAGCATGAACCCCAAGCAAAACAGTTCAGTCATATCACGACGTGTCAACTTAATGTGGGGAAAACGTCAAAGTGATGGAAGCCTGAGATTGAATTCACACTACGACCGTTGTTTTATGCGTCATTTAATATGATTTTGTTTTAGAAAAGACAGGAGTGGGTTGGCCTTACACGCGCGCATGTAGGTCTGTTCAGTTTTTAGTGCAGAACCCCTTGTAATAACAGGCATTTATATTTGGCACAACCAAATACATGAGAGTTTGTTAAACGTTTTCTCTTCTTCATTACGATGTCTGTAATTATGGGGGCGGTCGGGTAGCCTATTGGTTAAAGCGTTCCCGACATGGGTACAATGTGTGAAGCCCATTTCTGGTGTCCCCCGCCGTCATATTGCTGGAATATTGCTAAAAGCGGCGTAAAACCATACTCACTCACTGTAATTATGACGAGGAGTTGGTATAAACAAATAAACCACTTTCATGTCATTTAAGACGAATTGCTGCTTTCGGATTTATATCGATTTTGAATTTCATCGGTACGATTTTGCAAAAAAACGGACTGATGTTGGACTTAGTATGCCAAAAGAGTACCTTTTAAAGCATTGTTGTCATGGAGACAGACCTACCTCTAATTTATCCCCCGAACATCCGACAAAGTACCAACAATTATGATCCGTTTTGGTGCACGGGTGGCCCAGTCATCAAAGACACCTCCATTGCATTGCTGTGCCAGAAATAAATGTTCGTGGGACCAAATCTCAGATTCGTCCTGATTATGTTTTCGGCTTTTAGAACCACACCCTTGCTCGTGGGTTTCACCGAAGCGGTATACGTCTCAGACCTGCATCATCTCGGGCTTTCGTCATCAATACTGACAGTCGTCATACATGTAATACTATTCAAAACACCTGTGAAGATCTCAGGTAGAATAGGTCTTCAGCAACCCATGCTTGCCGTAACTGGCGACTATATAATTCTTGTCGTAAGAGGCGACTAACGGGATCGGGTGGTCAAGCTCGCTGACTTGGTTGATGATGCATGTCATGGTATCCCAATTGCGTGGATCGATGCTGATGATGTCAATTACTGGAATTGTCAGGTCCAGACTCGAATATTTACAGCCCGCCATCATATTGCTGGAATATTGCTGAGTGCGGCATTAAACAACAAACAAACAAAGAAATACTGTTAAAAAAATCATTCACTCGCTATTACCTGTTTTACAGAATATCTCGTACACGTTGTACCCCCACTCATAAACTGCAGCATTGGAAATAACTTTGGCAGATGCAGAGTTGGCAGATGCAAAGGAAAGCTGAAGAGAACCTGCCATACAAGTACATTCCCCTGTGACGCTCTGGTATCCAAAATACTGACGCTCGTTCAGAGTGCAGGGAGCGACGCTCAGGGATTCCATATCCGGACACTCACCAGCAGAGGGAGCGCAGGCTATGGCACATTCAATTCGGTTGACTGTGGACTGTGGCGTTAACGTGACTCCCTTCTGATGTTTTGGTCTCATATTTTCAAAGCCAGGTATCTGCGTCATCTTACACGTGCGACACGTTTCAATACTGCTGCTACAGCCTACAAATAGAACGAAGATGAACCTTCCGACCATGTCTACGTCTGTGTTGCATTGGGTGACTACGGGTCTGTTGTTTAGTTGTTGGCATCACCACTGTTTCCAGTATCTCCTATAAATACTGAGTACATTGTATGGTTGTTGCGCCTGTCTGTTTTATTGTTATCCGACATGTAAATTGAAACTGTGTTAGCGGGTGATTCATAGACACACTTTTCATCTGTCAACAGCGTGTTCAATAAATCTTGAGTTAAGTGGCAAAAGGCGTTACGCTGACCCTGGGTTACGCGAGGTCGATGACAACGTTGGGGCTCACGGGTTGCCCAATCGTCCAAGACGCTGCAATTCGCTGTGAAGTCCCCCTTGGGCACGCCAGAAACCTACGATTGTGGGTTCGATTCCCGGTTCGCCCCGACTATGTTTCTAGGCCTGTCAGCGCCATACTGACGCCAGTGGGTTTCACTGCATCACTTCAGGCTTTCATCCGACATTATGCCGACACACCGTGATATAACTGGAATATTGTTAAAAGCGGCGTTAAACCAGACTCACTCACTCATTCGATGTCTAATATCACTAAGGATTGACTTTGAATTGAATGGGGTATATATTCTAAGGTGTATGTTTCAACATGGGTATACTGTTTGACTTACTTTTTCGTTTGGCCAAAAAATATTTTTTTGTACTTTTGACACATCCCACTTTCTCACTCAGTCAGGCGCCCGGGGGCGATTCCCCAAATATGTGATGCCCATTTCTTGTGTCCTTCGCACTGACATTGCTGAATTATGGTAAAAGCGTCGAAAAACTTAATTCGCTCGCTCAGTCCTTTTCGGGTGTTAAGTATCTGAAGGTTTATATTTTAAACTTTACACAGGGAACGAGTGACCTCGTGGTCCGCAGTTCACTAAGTTATGTCAGAATCTCTGAGATTCACAATGAATATGGTCCTTAGTTTGTCAGCATCATATCCGTTCACCCTGGATTTTTACCAAAATGGCAGATGTCTGCTACTTGCATCCCTTTTTCCTTCCTCTCAAATAAACGTGACACACCGTAAAAAATAATGTTCAAAGCGGCGTTGAAACCGACTCACTCACTTTATCAGAACGGATACACCGTGTATGTAGATTTGCCTGCAACATATGTGCACAAGTATGAGATAGCTTCGCGATAAATCGCAAAGAACAATGAAGAACGAAGCGTTGTTTATTTCACGATAAACCATTGTTATATCATGACGTCATTTCTGGAGATTCGAACATGCCCTCGCAACTTGATAAATTGGACGACGATATGTTTGAGAGAGAAGCGTCTAGTGAGTTGTTCCGCATAGATGTAGCTGGACAGCGCAGATGAACGCAATGACCGAACGATCGTACCCAAAAGTGGAAGAGATCTGACAACTGGTAATGGGAGAAAAGGTGCAGATAGTCGATCTGAAAATTGTGAGACTACCACAAACGTACATTAATGCAGTTGTCCGACATTGCCGAGGTCGGATTGTATTCAGGGAGTCATTATTATTTAAATTTGGGTAAATGTTTGTAAAGCTTGTACAATTTATTGACAACCTAAAAAAGCTGAACAAAATGTTGATATCTCATATAAGAAATAAACAACTCGTGGTCGTTGTTTATCGCACAATAAAACACTGTAGGGAGAATAAACAAATCGGGTCTGCGCCCCTCATGGTTTATTCTCCCTGCAGTGTTTTATTGTACGATAAACAATTCCCACTCGTCGTTTATTTCTTAAATAGAACACGTGAATTTTACTGTCAATTTATCTGTGCAGGTACACGTGTCTCGAAAACACACTCAGGTTAAAATGACCCGATGGGGGTTCCGAATAGATTCCCAGCAACATCAACTGGAAGGCGACTTAATGGCGCGAATGGTCAGACATCGATTTTGCTATTATGAGAATAAAACGAAACAAGAAATACGAGTCTCCGGTTTCTGTGTAAGAATAACCATTATGCTTGTGGTTCCTGTATCGCTCAATAAGTCACCAGCAACCTATGCTGGTCATAGGAGGTGGTCAGACTTGGTGACTTGGTGGTGTGCGTGTCATCGTGCATCACGACGCCGGGCGTTGCTCACAATATCAAATCACGGGATTGTCTGGTCCAGACTCGATTATGTACAGGCCGTCGCAATATGACTACACAGCAATCCGCCAAAACATGGTGCCAGTCCACCCGATCCCCATTCTACGTACTGGCGTACTGGGAACAGGGGAAACTCAGACTGGCGGTAGGTTAATGTAATCTATCAGCCGAGTGGAGTTCACCTCGCATCCAACGTGATGAAGATGACTAAGTCATCCTTTGTCATCAACATGTATGGGTATCTTAAAAAAAACCTGTATACTTCTAATAATGACCCGGGTTCGATTCCCCACATGGGTACAATGTGCAAAGCCCATTTCTGGTGTCCCCCGCTCTGACATTGCTGGAATATGGCTAAAAGCGGCGTCAAATCATACTCACTCACTCTAATAATGAATCATGTTAGAGATATCGATGTTACTGAGTGACAGTGTTGAATGCATGACAAAAACATTTATCACTATCTATCTATCAAGGTCCGTCAGGTCAAAATTGTTGGACAAAATGGCGGATTCGGTATCACTTTGGACTTTCTGATTGGTTAATCATATTGCTTGATTGACATGTGACGAGATAATTGTGAGGACTGATACAGTCATGCGTGTATACCCCATATTGGCTGGACACAGTAATGTTGACGTCATTAAATCCTGCTCGTTACAGCAGTGACTCGTGTAACCTTTAAACAAGTACTTGATATGTACGAGTGATGAATGTGACGTTACTGATTACAGTTGGTGTATTTACTGTAAACTATTTACTTTTGGTAATTGTGTACACGAAACACGACCTCCCATGAGGTTCCTGTTGTTGCACGAACGTGTTCATGTCACGGCAGAATGTATTTGGAGAGACATGGTCATGTTGTAAAGTTGTCAGGCACCACAACCGCTAATCGAGCGACATTACTGATTATGTTGTGAGTGTACATGTTTTGGAGAACAACCTACACCACGGGGAATTACGGAATATATGTCCCGCTGACATAAACGTACAAGGTTATTTTCAAGAGGGATTCATCCCTAAATCCAAGTGTCGAGTGGTTTTTTTTCATATTACATCCTGTGTGTTCATAGATGCTCCGCACCTTCATGGTGTAAAGACGCGTGTTTAGCACAAGGTGAAGATTCTAAGTTATGTAAGGCCACATAGATAAAGATCGTGTTTCTCGTCTCTTAAAAGAGACACGTAGTTGCTAAGTTGCAATTGCTGAGTGCGGAATTAACTAAAACATCCAAAACAATAATTTCACATAATGTTCCAGTTAGCCAACTCAGTATGACAATGTGCTGCTCTCTTTCTGATACATTACTGAAAGGTTCAAGGGCCATGGGATAGATATTGGTTAAAGTATTAGCTCGTCATGCCGAATACCCGGGTTCGAATCCCAACATGGATACAATGTCTAAAGCCCATTCTTGATTTCATCGACACGTGGCTTGAATATGGCATAAACTCAATCCAATTAAATAAAACAAGAGTCACACATCCAGATTTTTTATTTCCTTACAATATGTCGGCGCGCGAATATAATTTATTTTTATATAAAAAAATATCTCTTCATTTCTTGTATCATGTTTACATCAACACGTTGACGGATGTCGCCTCAGTACCCTTTCGTTATCTTCCTCGGACACCTGTCGAAGACCAGCTGAAGAATAGATGTATGTACATGTACGTTTAGGAGTGAATGATGAAACAATACAACACCACAATGTCATTACTTTGCCTACGTCAGATGGTGATGCGGGTATTCTTTTTTATAACTTGTGGTTAAACGTTAAATAAAAGTCTAACAAGTAAAAACGTTAAATAAATTTATATACACACTAAACTTCTTATTTAAACGAATCATAATCAACATTATATTAAAACATTAATAACTGCATGTTAAAGATATAACATTCATCACATAAGTATAGCTTCGTTGTTCACCACAGTTCTGTTAAAATAAACACCATAACACTCGTCTGGTTTGACGAGTGTGAAATGAAATTTAACTGGAAGCACTCGTACAATCTCCAACAGCAGTCGTTGCGGATTCTGTGAAGAAATACGCACAGAATGTTTGTCGTACTGACAAGGATCGAGTGGTTACACTATATACCGTGTATTATGAGGGGCCCGGGGCAGCTGGTTTGCCTGACTGACCAGGCTCTGAGACGTAGCTGATAGTGCATCATTGTACCGCGACGATGTGGGACGTTGACATGATATCGAGAATTGGTTTGTCTGACTTGATTTGTCGCCTTGTTACAGCTGAAACGTTGCTGGTAGTGGCGTAAAACAACACTCACTCACTAACTCCTCAAAGCTGAGGGTTACTGAGTAGCATGCAAGGTCCGTGGTAACATGGTTTTAGGTGAATAGTTTTCATTATTTTGTGTCAGTTATTACCGAATCAATTTCCCCATAGTAATCATCCAGGTAGCCAAGTGCACTTGCTCCGGCCCCAATGTAGAGGGGTTCATTGCTCACTGCAGGTATCCGCCCATAGGCTGTGGAATAGCAATCAATGTGTTTAAAGTAATGTTGGGGCGGTGGGGTAGCCTAGTGGTTAAAGTATTCGCTTGTCACGCCAAATACCCGGGTTCGATTCCCCACGTGGGTACAATCAGTGAAGCCCATTTTCTGGTGTCCCCCATATTGCTGGAATAGTGCTAAAGTGGCGTAGAAGAATACTCACTCACTCAAAGTCATGTTCCATTTGATGAACAACAAAAATTATATTAAACTCACGATAATACAACAAATCTATAAAAAAATTAATGCATACTGATAATAATGTCAAAATATACATTTCAGGACAATGTTTTGGGGTAAACAAAATATATATTATTTCCAGGACGCATGTTAAAAAATAATATATTCCAGCATAATATTATTTTTCTATTCACCAGAAAAATAATTTCTAGGGACTTAATTAAAAATTCATTGCTATTTGACACTTCTTGATTTACAATAAAACTGCATAATTCATGAGGGTTGTGAATTTAAATGTGAAGGTCTCCGTGCAGCCCAAACCCTCTTCAAAAGCCTTCCACCTTACAGCCCGAGGCACTCTCACCGTACACCGCCCTATCTCCGACCGTCAGCTTCACCGTGACATCGTCTTGCTCCACCGAGACGTACGTAAACGATCCCTGTAATATATGTACATAAAATATCACAGCTGTCGCCGATCGTTTAATGCTTTGAACAACTACTACATTGTCGATTTACAAGAATCTCGGGGTAACGTAAATGCACATTTGTTGGTGAAAACATGTTAACATGGGGTAAGACTTGCGTTATAGTGCTGGGCTAATGTTGCTGTAGAAATGTAACCAGCAATCAAATGCATTGTAACATCCAGACATCGCCGAGATCGATTGATAGTCCCTTTCGGAATAATGACGCAACCATTACAGCTCCACTTTTATTGATTGCTGGCTCTCGGTGAATATTGATATGGCTCTAAAAGGGTTGCAGTTAGGTGCATAGGTTGCACTGTATTTTGTCGCTTCAACTAAGGCCATGTATTATGTAGACACCTTACCTTGACTCTTTCTCACCGGGAGCTTATGTTCAAATAACCTGGGCCCTGTTTCATGAGGCGTCTTAGCTCTATGACGAGCGTAACTTTCAATCTTTATTGCTGTTTCTCGACACGTTTTTTTCTCACTGCCTTCACAGTGCAATCAAGCAACTACTGAGGTCAGAGGTCATGACTTCCAACCCTCGCTCATCCCCTCGAATTCAATGTTATGAATAAGCCCGCAGTGTGTACCGTTTTAGCGCGTATAGTCGTAATTATGCACGTAGCTTTGTGGAAGGATCTCAGATCACCGGACTTTCTCTCTATGAATGGGAACAAAAAAACTATTTCAAGCGATAAATTCTTCAGCAATCATGCACCGCAAATAATTAAGGCAAGGAAAGATAACTCTTTGGTAAAGATCCGGACAAACCGAACTGTTGTTAATACCGGACTGTTTACCGGACAGAACCAACTATTGACCGTACTGAAATCCTTTACACTTTTGAAATGACCCACACGATTATTAGTATAAGATGGTCCAAATGGTATTGTGATTCTGCCATTTCATGAACTTACCTGATTGATCGGGAGAGATAAAACCACAGGTTTCCTAGTCTGTTTATATCTATATTCCTTCCCGTATCGTGGTATTATAACCAGTTGTATTTTGTTCCCAATCAAAGCCAGACTGAAGGTACTTGATGTCCGAGAGAAGCTGTTGCTGACGATAGCTTGGTTTGATGACCCTGAAGACTTTGCTTTCACCAGTAGAGTGAGGCGGTATGCAGGTCGGAGGTCATTTCCGGTGAAGAATGGAATGAAAAGATGTCCCCCCTGAAAGGCTGCAGCTCCGTCATGAGTAAACACATTTCCTTCCCTCCCCATCCATATCCTGTTGTAACGCTCAGTAAACGGGCGGTTTCCTTCGAAGTCAAAAGAGAATTCCGGTTGACACTTCTTTGCTGAAAAAAAGAAGTTTAATTAAGAGTCATGTCAACATCTAAAGTTGACGAATGGACAAATTTACAAAAATAAAATCTTATTACCCAATATTGTGAATTTACGCATTTGCTTTATCTAACTGACCAAGGGAACTGACGCATGGGTGTTCCAGCTATCTAAGTCCTCGTACTTTGCTTTGCAGGAGTTGCGTGTCTCAGTTGCCAAAATTGTTGATCGTGGGTTCCAATGCTACATGTTAGCAACGCGTATTAGCTTAGGTGTGTCAGCACAATGCCAGTGAGTTTCTCCATACACGTACATTGTTACGACCTGATTCATTTCGGGCTTTCCTTTCCTTTCCTCATTAAGCTGACACGCCGTGATACAACTGGAATACTGTAAAAAGCGGCGTTAAACCAAACTCACTCACTTCACACCAACCTGGTACACCGTTGCATGAATGGCTTTTGATTTGATTGGCTTAGCCAGCAACTGTTTTTGAGTTTTTTCCATAAATCGAAAAATCAGGCCACGCCCACAAATGGACTACTTTAATTGGCTGATAATAGTGTGGGTGGAGCTTGGGTTGCATTATTGTACTGGACGATGTCACTGATTTTTTATTGTTTTTCTACAGAATTTTTGTTTTGTGTTAATGATAAAATATAAAGTCTGTGTTATTATTGTTGACTTATTTATTTATAAGAATTGATTTCAATATCTTTTTCCATGTGGCGTTATGAACACAAAATAAGGTCCACACTGAGGTATGAATGACGTCAACAATCCGAGGTGGGTGTGAAATTTGGTAAGAAATTTTGTCTATTTACAAATTTTGATGACTACTAAAATATATATATACTTACCTACATGCTCCTTGAGTAATACACGGGGGGACGCAAGGTGTGGGTAAGGGCTTGACTGCGTCTGGCTGTTGTCATAGTAACCCAGCTTAACAGGAGAAGTATCATAACTCTGACTGTCACCGCCGTAAGGATTGCCGTTGTCATGGTAATCCTTGCCACCACCCAACCCTCCAATTTTACTGTCTGTGTTTTGGTTGGCAAGGTCGTTTTCGTCGTCGTTAAAGCCGTTGTCAAGGTCGATGTCGTTGAAGAAATCGTCGCTAGGAAACAGACTCAAGGGCCATTCTAGATCACCACGACTGGGAAATATGGAGTTTTCGTCGGTGGTGTCATCGCCTTTCGGTGAAGGGGACTGTGGGTCGCCGAAAATAAAATCGAGATTGTAAGAGTCCTCGTCGTTGGCATTGAACGGGAAGGCAGATACACAGAAGGATAGATAGAGTGTGAATATAGCGGCGATGCATGTGTCTGCCATTGTGATCACCAGCTAGTCCTGGAAAGAGATAATGCAACTCAGTCACTGGTTGATACATAACGTATCTGCTCGTTGTTTGTTATTTAACGCGGCAGTCAGAAATAATTCAATTACATCAAGGCGGCTTGGACATAGTTGAGTCATGGCCAGGAAAATCAGACAAATTTGATATACATGGTATCTTAAAGTCACTGTATTAATTTCCAGCTACAGATATGACAACCATTTGGTGATATCCAAAGTTCGTGATCCATAATCAACAAAACCATTGGCGACCTCGGCTCGGGAATAAATCGCGTTTGTTTCCCCCGGGGTTGCGGCACCTTGGACGACTGGACCACCCGCATAGTCCAGGCAGGTCCAGACTCGATTATCTACAGACAGCTGTCAAATAACTGGAATATTGCTGAGTGCGGCGTTAAACAACGAACCACAACAACTGAACATAACCACGTGCCTGCACACACACACACACACACACACACACACACACACACACACACACACTACAATATCAACCTACCTGAACTGTCAATTGATGAACCGCAATAGAAAGGCAACAAGCGATCCCTTTCTTTTATATCCACCTTAATTGCATGACTCGTTTTGATTGGTTACCATAAATGACGTCATCAAGAGGTTTTAAACATTTGAACTTCCAGGCATGGTTGAAGGAATGCTCCAATGAAATAAATAATATATGGGATAATGTATACTGTCTTCCTCAACCCAATCCTTTCTATTAATGCCTCCTTAAGATTCACGTAAACGTCATTGAGTGCTTGTTTTAGGGTGAAGGTCAGTGGGACATGACGTGTCCAAGTGAGGATCGGTATTCGATTTTGTGAAAGTTATATGTCCTTTCATTTGGTTTTACTGAACTACAAATTATGCAAAATTATGATAGTTTCATGAACCGGACATATTTGGTGTGTTCACCATTAATAAAAAAGGATATTGTCTGACATAAACGGAATATTTAAGTTGAAATGATGACGGACAGTATCTGAATTACACTTCACACACATTAATAGCGTGCCAAAGTGGATAATATGAACGGCAGTGAAATTACTAAAAATATATTTAACTATATGTCAACAAGTAAATAATCAGGTATGTTTTGCACAGAGGTCATGGTCATTATCATCGTTAGGCTTTTCCACCCTCCATCTGGATCTTTTCCTAATCGTCATGATGACGGTGGTTTAATCCGATAACAGAGCTATGAATAACAAAGATAATTTACTAAAAAAAACTACCACACGTTCCATATTGTCATTTTATCGCGTAACTTTAAAATTCCAGAATTTCGTTGATAGAGTAAAATAGGATTTGGTTTTGTTTATTATAAATTCAAATATTGGAGTTAGTTTTTCACATTCAAGTCAGATATGCTTTAGAAGGTTATAATATCACTCAATGTCGAATGAGTGAGTGAGTGTTCTTTAACGCAACTTCCAGCATTATTCAGGCTTTATCACAGCTGGATAAGAGACTCCACCGATATGTTGCTCCTAATTGTAATAAAGTAGTTCATCTTTAATCTTATCATTATTTAATACTCCAACTTCTTAATGCCTCTCAAAGAACTTAATACTTCGATATTTTCTGAATGCATGTACATGTACAGTAGACAATATATAACAATATTCTGTAATCATTATACCATCAAATTTACCATGAATAATCCAATTAGTGTCGATGTCAGGAGATCTTTTAAGCCAGGAATATATCTGGATAGCTGGATAATATAAGATTATAAATGTCTAAGTTATTATCATATTCTATATTGCATTTCAGATTTTATCAAAGAAGGTAAGAAAAAGAAGATCGCGCATAAATTAAAATTCATTATACGTGGCTTTTAGGAAGGGCGGTTTCTGTAAGTGTGTCAAGTGTTCACGGAAGTACATGGATCAAGTAAGCTGCATTAATGCTGGAATGATAAAACTTGCGCATTTCAAACTTTATACACACCAGACACACTGTCAGAACGCTAAAAGTCTTGTGAATAAAGAGTCCTTGGACAGTGCCAGCATTGATACTGCCATTGGGCGGTCGGGTAGCCTAGTGGTTAAAACGTTGGCTCGTCACGCCAAAGACCCGGGTTCGATTCCCGACATGGGTACAATGTGTGAAGCCCATTTCTTGTGTCCCCCGCCGTGATATTGCTGGACTATTGCTAAAAGCGGCGTAAAACCGTACTCACTCACTCACTCACTGATACTGCCATAACGTTAAGCAATGATGAATGAGCGCATGGACGGGATGGCGTCCGGTGGTTGTGCTGATCGATGTGAGCTTGAACATAGCTCAAAACTGACACATGTAATAGGTCGCCTGGATGGACGAATGAGATGCAGAATAATCACACAGGAATGGGGAGGATTAGATCAGCCAGGGAGGATTAGGTTTCAATACTTGCTGGTTCTTCTCTCGGGAGATGAACATTCAGGCAAGCAAAAGCCCAGACCAATATCTGTCTTGGGTTATCGATGAACATGCTCTAAATGTCGAAACGTACAAGAAAACTGAAAAACAAAAATGACGTAGTTCATTTACAATATGTTTGTTTTGAATATATTCTTTTTGTCCCAACTAATATTTTAATTATCTTCGGAATTTAACGTCAGTACTATTTTGTTTAACGTCAAATCGAGGAGATTTCCTAAAACAATAATATATTTTGGTGCAGCCATAATTGTTAAACATGGTAGAAGTTTGGTTTCTGTAGTTTGAAAGTTTTTGTTTTCGGAGGTGCAAATACAAAAAGTAATTCCAACAATATCCGTGTTAAACAGTTTTTATTACGTAGGACGAAGGTATCGATATTTGTTTTCAGTCCAGTTGCCAAATTCTGGATATCTGTAACTTCGTTGCCAGATTGATGACAATATGCGTCTTTTAGTTGTATTCTATGCCGATGATACTGTTACCATTACTGATAAACTTAAGTTTACATGTCTATGTGCTATAGTCATATTATTGACATACCTATAAGCGAGAGGGACGGGATAAAACCTAGATAAAACCATAGTGAGTGAAGCGTGTAGACTGGCTATGTCAGTACATCAGTATATTGATTGTTGGTCAGTACATCAGTACATTGATTGTTGGTCAGTACATGAGGATATTGATTGTTGGTCAGTCCATCAGTATATTGATTGTTGGTCAGTACATCAGTATATTGATTGTTGGTCAGTACATCAGTATATTGATTGTTGGTCAGTACATCAGTGATATCGTATCCGAGTAAAATTTTGGTTCTGATTGAAATGAGATCATTCCAGGGGACGTTATCAAAAGAGGTGACACAATAGAATCAAGTTTACATTTATGGATCTATATACTTATACAAACAAACAAGACAAACAAAATATTGTTGGAAGCATGCTTACTATGTCGTATACGTGTATTGGTGATGCACGTGCTTAACATGAAGTTCTTGAGTGTGACCAGATGGCAATGTACTTACATTCATAGTTGTGTGTACATCGTAATCCGTTTGGTGGGGCCGAATGTAAACAATAACAGAACTGTTTTAAAAGGAGTTGGTATTTTTTCTTCTTTAAAAGCGAAAATTTAGTGAGAAATAGGAAACAAAAATCTGTATCCATACCCGGTAATGCGCCAGTCAGTCATATGTATTATATTAATCAATGACGTACGCTTGTGTATTGATTGAAATCTCGATTCCATATTGAATGAGATTTTGCACCGTTTTCAGCATCATTCCAGCCACAACAACAGAAGACAGAGAAATACGAAACCTTGCTTAATATTGTTTGTTGTTTAACGCAGCACTCCACAATAATCCAACTATTCTCACAATTCATCAATGTGACAAACATGGTTCGTGCAGTGAAAACGCGTTAATCACCACGTAAACACATTAGCAGGTGTATTCCAGAAGGTCATAGTAGTGAGTGAGTGAGTGAGTTGGGTTTCACGCTGCTTTGAACAATATTCCAGTTATATCACGGCGTCTCAGCTTAATGTTGGAGGAAAGCCTGAAGTGGTGCAGGTCTTAGACGTTAACCACCTTGTTAAACCCACGTTCACGACTGAGAGAACCAGAAACATAATCGGAGCGAACTGGGATTCGAACCCAGAGTTATGACCTTTAAGTAAATGGTCCATATATGAGGTAATGCAGTCCAGATGTCAAGGAATAAATAATGAAAACATATCCAGTTGTGTGGGCATATTTGGCAGGTCTTTATTTACAGGGAGTAACAATGACGTAACCTGAAAAGCAACATGTCATTGTACATGTAGACAAAGTTAATCACAATATTATAGGAAGCAACTGTATTAAGTACCGGGTGTTATATGTAATTAAGTTTTATATACACTCAAAGTAACTAGCTACACTGGCATGGAGTTGTACTTTAGAGAGGATTATATTGTACAGTTCGTATTTACTTTACATGTACACGTTTATTAACGGAGGAGATGGAGATCCAAAGTGCACCGCTCTGTAGAGATTTGTGAACGGCAATCTGTGGCTGGGTAATTTTGTGTAGATGTGTACTGTTTCAATTAAGTCTGGGTTGAGAAAGGAATCTGCAACTACATGACTTCCACCATGTTTCAGATGTTCCAAATTATGTCAAAAAAAGCCATCAGCAATATTTTGTCCATTATTATTTTATTTTTGAAAGTTTTAAAACAAATTATATTTTAAAAAATACACCTAGAAGTATTCTTTGAGTGCTGATTAAGCGCCAGTACAGTTCATGTTTTGGATATAATATCGTTAACTTAAGACATTTTCAATTGAAATTCTATTGTTTCATTACATCCAAGTCAAGCAAATGCAATATTAAATTCTCAACAAAGATGTCCATATATGTAGATTCATTGAAATGTATTCCAATTCAAATATAATTCATTATCAATTGAAGATGCAATGATGTCTAATATGACGTATGATAAATGATTAAGCTACGGTTCAATTAATAATGATTTTGTCGAAATAAATAGTGATTGAGATGGTGTGGGCCGACAATACTATTTTTTGGTTTGATTGTATAGACAGCCTCCATTCCAAACTTCACGTGATCCCCGAGGTGACAGTGCACCAGCCACGTGCCGGGGTTATCAGTGAACATCTCCACCGTCTCGGTTGTGGAAGGAAATACCTCTATGACGTCATTGCGGTGAGCCTTGTCCGTGCGGTGTATAAACGTCTGACCGTGAAAGTGGACAGGATGAATGTCAGCAGAACTGCCGAGACCAAGAATGTGCCAGGCAACAGACTCTCCTTCCTTCATGGTTAATCCACGAACATTCCCGTATATAAGTCCATTGATGGAATGCATCTGATTGCTGTCTCTAAAATCGGCATCGCCAACGTTAGTTCTATTTGGTGCGAACGTCGCAGCATTTTCCTGCAAATAATGGCTATCGTTTTCGTTGAATATTACAAAAAGAAGAGCAAATTCGCGATTTATCTTGTCGGTGCGTTTACCATAAGCATTCAACTGCCCCCGTCTACAGATAACGAGGGGTCCGACCAGTCCACTATTAATATCCTTGGTCGAATCAACGGACGAATGATACAACCAGCTGATGCAGTTGGGGTCATTTTTGCCAGGACCGGACCTCTTTGGTACCTCCCAATGGTACACGTATGTCTGACCTGGTGGCACCGCATTGTCTCCAGTGAAGGTACTGCCATCTTGATACTGTGCTCCTTCGTTGGCCTTGTTGTAAAATAATCCCTCGGGTGTAATCGAGTAGGCTCTAGTGGCCAGGTTCCTGAAGACAACCTCAACGATGTCCCCTACTTCCGCTCGGATAAACGGCCCAAGGGTTCCTAGATGTTCTGTTTCCGGCCCGCGTGGTATTTGTGTTGTGAAGGTGCTGTCTGTGTATTGACGGTACAAGGCCTTCTTATATTTACTGCCAATGAAATTTGGGCCGCCTTTTATGAACTTGTATCCGTCCCTGCGATACAAAAGGAAGTCATTTAGGACATTCGCAATTTAATTTAAGAAGAAATACTTAGTAACAATTTCCTTTCGCCCAAACTTGGTCCAGATCCACAAAACCTTTGTAGCGCTACGACTGTAGTAAATATAAAACGTCAATGCAAGAGAATAACCAGTCTTGATTAAAGGCCGAAACAGATTTTATTTGGCGTAAAGGGAAAAACTAGTTGTGAAAATCAGTGATTACAGCAGATGTTTAAAGTTATATTAGACTTACGGCTGTCGTTTCGTTACCGCTTTGTTGATGAAGGCTTTGTGCAATGAGCCTTGGCCACGGTTAACAAGGCACTCGTAGCAATACGACTACGGCCAATGTATTAGCATGGACGTATGCCTGTCGTATCGCTACAAACGCTTTGAAGATCGGGATCCATATTACTAGTACAGAAGCACGATACTCACAGTGAGGTGTTGGTCAGGGGCAGTCCAGTGACCAGGTCAACCAGGACTGGGGCGTAGTCCCACACAACTTCAACAGCGGCAATGTAGTAACGTCGCACATGACGTCGCTGATGCCCCCACTGCTTGGAGTGGTGTGCACCGCAAGAGAAGACGTCGTACAGAGCGACCATGCCGTTGGTAAAGTGGAAGTTGGTGCGGCAGTGGACTGACCAGCGACCTGAAGAACATAATACAAATGTGACAAAATGCTTGTTCTGGCTTCAACGGATTTTCTTGGTGAACATGAACATGGGCGGGAGGTAAGATTTACAAAACAACAATTCAGGATGAAAATAAATTCTTTTCAATATGAAAGATCAAGAAAAAGCATTTTTCAAAATGTGTTTCTTGCTCCCTGCAATATTAGATAACAAGCACAAGTAATAAACATGATGTGGCCTTAAGACACAACGACCCACATTTCTTCGCACATTTTTGACAAATGTCATGTGATCGATTTATCAATAACAACAAATATGTTGTTGTTGTGCCTTCATCCGGTTGTATATGCTGTTATTTCATCATATTTATCGATATTTATACGTCTGCAGATAAATTGACTTTGCCATTACACAAACAGTCGAATTACTTCTACGCCCGTCTCAGCTCTATATTTTTTACACAAGACTCGGTGGCATACCGAGTTTCCGACATACTGACCAACACTGTCCGGAATGGAATGGAGAGTGACCCCGGACCCGGGGATGATGACCTTCCCCTCCACGTGGTTGCCGTCCACCTCCAGTGTTTGACCGTTGAAGTTGACGCCGTGGTTGTCCCGGAAAGCCCCCAGGCCAAACAGGTGCCATGTCACGTGATCACCAACGCACATATCTAGTCCTTGCAGGTTGGCGAATGTTCGGCCATTTATGGCTGAAGTATTAAGGAATCGTGTTAAACAAATGGATTTAATGTGCTGTATGTTCAACAGTAGCTGCGCTGATGTATTTTAGGGGTAATTCAGACCCTCTTCTGGAGGCCATGTGTCTGTTAGATGTTGTTCGTCTGGAAAGGACTTATGACCCATTTCGCATATTCGTTACAGAAGCCAATTGTCGTCATGGTGATACACAATGGATGCTGCCCGTTCTATTGTTGTGGTGATTTACTTTACCATCTGAATGTTTGGATATCATCGCCATTTGACACTCTTTACAATCTGCGACATTTGACATCCCTTACTTTCTGCGGCATTTGACTCTATTCACTACCTGCGCCATTGGACACCCTTTACAATCCGCGACATTGAACGCGCTTTACTTTCTGTGCATTTGACACCATTTACTCTCTGCGACCGAATACCCCTTAACTATCTGCGCCCCTGGACACGCTTTTCGTTCCGCGCCCTTGCGTACCCTTTACAATCTGGGTCCTCAGAACCCTTCACTAAATGCGCTCTTCAACTCCCTTAATTATTCGCGCCCATGACGATATTTACTATCTGTGCCGTTAGGCGATCTGTACTATCTGAGCTCTTGGATACCCTTCACTATCTGCGCCCTTTCTTCTCCCTTCACTATCTGCGCCCTTTCTTCTCCCTTCACTCTCTGCGCCGTTTCTTTTCCCTTCACTCTCTGCGCCCTTTCTTCTCCCTTCACTCTCTGCGCCCTTTCTTCTCCCTTCACTCTCTGCGCCCTTTCTTCTCGCTTCACTCTCTGCACCCTTTCTCCGCCCTTCACTCTCTGCGCCCTTTCTCTTCCCTTCACTATTTGCACCCTTCCTTCTCCCTTCGTTATCTGCGCCCTTTCTTCTCCCTTCACTATCTGCGCCCTTTCTCCTCCCTTTACTATCTGCGCCCGTTCTTCTCTCGTCAGTATCTGCGCCCTTTCTTCTCCCTTTACTCTCTGCGCCCTTTCTTTTCGCTTCACTATCTGCGCCCTTTCTTCGCCCTTCACTATCTGCGCCCTTTGTTCTCCCTCCACTATCTGCGCCCTTTCTCCGCCCTTCACTATCTGCGCCCTTTCTTTTCCCTTCACTATTTGCACCCTTCCTTCTCCCTTCGTTATCCGCGCACTTTCTTCTCCCTTCACTATCTGCGCCCTTTCTCCTCCCTTTACTATCTGCGCCCGTTCTTCTCCCGTCAGTACCTGCGCCCTTTCTTTTCCCTTCACTCTCTGCGCCCTTTCTTCGCCCTTCACTATCTGCACCCTTTCTTTTCCCTTCACTATCTGCGCCCTTTCTCCGCCCTTCACTCTCTGCGCCCTTTCTCTTCCCTTCACTATTTGCACCCTTCCTTCTCCCTTCGTTATCTGCGCCCTTTCTTCTCCCTTCACTATCTGCGCCCTTTCTTTTCCCTTCACTATCTGCGCCCTTTCTTTTCCCTTCACTCTCTGCGCCCTTTCTTTTCCCTTCACTATCTGCGCCCTTTCTCCTCCCTTTACTATCTGCGCCCGTTCTTCTCCCGTCAGTTCCTGCGCCCTTTCTTTTCCCTTCACTCTCTGCGCCCTTTCTTTTCCCTTCACTCTCTGCGCCCTTTCTTTTCCCTTCACTATCTGCGCCCTTTCTTCGCCCTTCACTATCTGCGCCCTTTCTTCGCCCTTCACTATCTGCGCCCTTTCCTCTCCCTCCACTATCTGCGCCCTGTCTTTTCCCTTCACTCTCTGCGCCCTTTCTCCTCCCTTTACTATCTGCGCCCTTTCTGCGCCCTTCACTCTCGGCGCCCTTTCTTCTCCCTTCAATATCTTTGGCACCTTTCTATTCTTGTTGTCAGATTTATGCGTTGGTCAGTGACATCCATACAGAATCTCACTTCTTCATGAATCATTATTGTAATTTATTTTTAAGACATATATCACACTCATCTGAGTCCGATAATAGAAGGGAATCTTACATACATGATAGCTTTTATAAGAATAGTTATGCTCTTATCTTAACTCACAGAACATGGTGTTTGAGAGTATAAACCCAGAATTGGTCTTGTCGACGATTGAGGGATTCAGAGCAAATCTCTGTATGTTCTCGTCAATGTACCAGGACTCGTTCTCGTTCAGGGTGAGGATTAGGAGGAAGAACTCCCGGTCTGTGGGGGACCCAGTGCTGCTCCAGTGTCCTGGTCCACCCTGCAGGGGTTGGAGGTCAACATGAGTGGGTGAGTCAATAGTGTTGAACGGCGAAAGCACTTACATTCCAGCTACATCACAATTGCCTATAAAACGTTTGTACCAGCAAAACCAGTGACGGAAAACGCGATAAAAAATCTACGACATCGGAACACGATGGCACGCAATGAGGGCAGACGCCTTCAGAGTCTGACCATCCATTGCAGATGGCTCTTATATTACAACAAGCCTGGGGTCGCTGGGGTACCCCCATTTGACCACAGCAAGATATGGTTTAGCTCATAGGGGCAGAAATATCCCCAGTATTCCATTGTTTTAAACGTTGTCAGTGTGTTGATGGCAAAAAGTTAAAAGGGACGCAGGTGGGGTACGTTTGCTGAAGTCTGAGGTGACAGACCAATCTGAATGTGAACCCGTTATTAGCGGATACTGGCAAGTCCACTGAGTCACCGACCAGTCACGTAGACACTGCACTGCGCTGCACTGCGCTGCACTGCGCTGCACTGCGCTGCACTGCATGAGACGGAAACCACGGCGCGACTACACCATTTTTGACCAAACATGATTTTTTTAATCGATTTAATTATAAATATATTAGTGCAATTGGATCGACGTGTTTTAACCGTACATGAACATGTTGAAATAAACATGATTTATTATTTCATAACAGTGAAATATTTACACACACTACTTACTCCCTAGCTCACTCACGCACCCACACAATTAATTACTCACTCACTCACGCACCCACTCAATCAATTACTCGCTCACTTAATTACTTACGAAACTTAAAAAGAAACTTTAAACTGTTATCAACGTCTTATCACTGGCACTGTTGTACTACCCATTCACAAAGAAACGTTCAGATACATACCTCGGACTTCCAGTCAAAGCTATGTCCCTTCCTACAGATGACCACTGGTCCGATGAGTCCGGTGTACACGTCCTTGACAACGTCCACGGCGGAGTGATACGTGTACGTGAGACAAGGTGGGTCATCCTCGGTGGGGGCCACGCTGTCGGTCACCTCGAACCTGTACACCACTGTCTCACCAGGTCGTGCGAACTTACCCACTGTCCCGTTGCCTACACAGACACATAATTATAGAGAATGAGGTTCTTTACCGCCATATAGACAACTATATCGTAAAGGTCTGAATATGGGTCAGACAAACATTTGTCGAGAGCATGAACAACGATCCACTCGATCCTTATTACTCGGATCCAATGACAAGCATGGGATACCTGGGAAAAAGACAGAATAGGACTCTCAATCTCAATATATTGATAAATGGATGACTGGTATATCTTATATATCTACATGTGAACACCAATGCTATAGTTGAGATTTAAATGAGCCACATCAAACGCATCCAAACACGTCTCCAAACACAATTTACATTCAATCTTTATATCTTCAACATTATGTTGTTAATAAAGAAAAAGAAACATTTCAGTTCCAAAGGACAATGTTATGTGGAAGGAACATTGCTACATTTAATGTTCCTTTGGGTGCAATCAGTTAAGTCTGGTTTTAACATAAAGCCGATCCAGGGAGTATGTCAGTTTGTTTGTGGGTTATTGAACCGCCGCACACAGCATTATTCTAGCAATATGACGGCGGTCGGTGAATAATCGAGTCTGGGACAGACAATCCAGTGATTGACAGTATGAGCATCGATCTATGCAATTGGGATACGTTCACATGATTCAACAAAGTCAGCCAGCCTGACCACCCCATCCCGTTAGTCGCCTCTTACGACAAGCATGGGTTGCTGAAGACCGGTACCCAAAAGGTATACATTGCAAGAATAACCTGGGTCCGTCCTTTGCATGATGAATAATGAGAGCACAACTGTCTATCCTGATTTCATGACTCACTGTAAGGGTCTTTTGTGACGAATCCCTCCTGTTCCTTGGGGAAGGTGACTCCGTGGACGTACACGGAGTAGTTGCGGTCGGCTCTGTTGAGAAAGACTATCTCCACTGTTTCACCGACCTCGGCCTTGATAACAGGACCCAGCAGCCCAAGATGTATCTGAGAAACGAATGACTAGGATCACGAGACAATGCATTTGAACAATACTAAACCAATGGCATGTACACAAATTGCAAGGTACATGCCATCCCACCTAATAAAGCATCCTTATCAACTGGGGGGCACGGGTGGCCCAGTCGTCTAAGGCGCTGCGATTCGCTGTGCAGAGTTGCGTCCCTTGGGCACGCCAGAGACCTATGATTGTGGGTCCGAATCCCGGTTCGCCCCGATTATGTTTCTAGGTTTGTCAGCACCATACCCGTGCTCATGGGTTCACTGAAGTGGTAAACGTCTGAGACCTGCATCACTTCGGGCTTTCCTCCCACATTAAGCTGACACGCCGCGATATAACTGGAATACTGTTAAAAGCGGCGTTAAACCCAACTCACTCACTCACACTTATCAACTGACATATCAATGAATCAACGAAATGTTGAGTTCCACGGCGATATCCTGGAAACCACCCAACTACAAGAAATACAGAGTGTTGACGTGACGTACCTTGTCTGGAGTCCGGAACTTCTTCTGCGTGAAGGTGGCGTCGGTATATTCTATGTACAGAGCCTTCACGTACTGACCGCCGATGGTGCTGTTGCCGCGGGTGAAGTAGGTCGATGCCGTGCTGTCGAGTAGAAAGTGAATGTGATTTTGCATGTTGTTCCGTGTATAAAAATTCCAACTCATGCTCACGCTTTGGTAAATACACTGGCACCGAAGTTTGCTGTTTGCGAAGTATCGTCCCTAAGTCGCATCAGAATCAGCTAATTGTTGTTCGAAACGATGATCGCCGGCATAAATTTCATCACCATACCCGTTCACACTGATTTCACTGAAGGGCACACATCTACACCCCTTTCATATCATATTTGTTATTCAGATAATTGTTTACATATTAACATGTACTGTCGTATTTCTCACTTCAGTTTCATGCCTCTACACTTATACCAGACTCCTTCTAACTAGATTTCCGGAGAGCGGAAAGTCGCATCATACGAAAAGACGTTTAAAGATGGTACTTGTTGTTACCCTGCCTGTCGCGCGGATATAATGCGCTCAAACAAGGACTGGTCGGTTCGGAGTCAGTATACTGTGTCTGAGTGGGGTATTCATGTTAAACTGAGGCATGGTATCTCAGTGGGCCAGCACTATAAAATCGGCATCAGTGCAGACGTAAACAAGCAGCCACACACACACACACACACACACACACACACACATCGCTATATAAGTGCAAAATCTTGGACGCGGTGTTAAACTCCATTTCACCACACCTCAGCACCTTCTTATAAGTCTTAGAAAAAGATATATTCCATCTCCTGCCTCACCTGTTGGGGTTCGTCAGCGACCCTCCAAAGTACAGGTCCTGGCCAGACGGACCGTAATCCCACACCACCTTCTCTGCTGCGATGAAGTACCGCTTGACTGGCCGGATGTCATCGTGGTAAGGGAGGAAACTCCCGGAATGTCCATCATGAATAGATAATCCAGGCAAATGGTCACGTGACAGGAAGTCACTGGCGGAATAGTAAGGCGACAGAGAACCGTAACCGCCTTTCTGTCGTGGTTTAATGAGGACGTATGCTTGCATGCCATCTATAACAATAGTACCTGGGTCTTAGTCTGATTACACAGTGGCTCATTCTGAACGTCATTCCGGTCAAGTAAACAGCTTAGAGATCTTTACATGTATTCAATCATACATATATGAAGAGAGGGTGAATGGTTTTGTTTGGCTGAAGGCAGCAAAATTATAGCTATAGTATTACATCCTGTAACAACGGGAACCAGTGGTTGACAGCATGAGCAACGTATGACGTCACATCGTAACCCATCGATCCCCATTAGTCCGTTCTTACAGCAAGGGTTCAGGAATCTTTCCGTCATTTAATCCTTTAAATATCATATAATGTATAATTTTCTACAATATATCGCATCCATAATAAGACCCTGTTAGTCCAGACTCCGTTATATCAGAAACTAAACATTTTAGACAATTACTGATTTTGAGGTCCACATCATCTCCCCGAGGCAATGGAGTTAACTGACTGTAAAGCTCCAGTTAGGACTGTTATAGTCACTTAACTCCCTTGCCTCGGGAAGATGAGTCCACATATACTGAAAGGGATAGTTTAATGTACCCACGGTGTGGATTAACTGGGTTTTAGTGTATGTAATTAATGTTTGTGACATTAAATATCGAAACGGTCATGTATATCATGTGGAGATTTCCCATCATATCTGCATATGTCCATCTCATTAAGTGAAACCTCATTTATCCGGATGGCACCGTTCCCGGTGAAATCGCCAGGTACATGAATTGTCAAATTAACAAATCAGTGGTATGTAGACTATAATAAAGTCTGTCCTATTACTACTGACAGACGTTCCCAATAAGAATCGTTCGGAAGACGGGTTCCCTGATTAACGGTGTCTGGAATAGGGAGGACACACTGTATATCCCTCCACCAGGTTGTGAATCTCCTTATATATCAATACACTGATGCTGTTGGTGATGCTGTTATCAACGTCTGTGCAAGATATACGTTGTATGTAAGGTGTGGAGGGACAAGTATTAAAATGAACTAACTTACACTAAGAATTAAAAAATAATATTAGGTATCGCCTGGGCGAATTACTCACTCCTGTACCAGGTCGAGATTCTGGACGCAAAGAGCCAGACACCTGGATTTTCGGGTATCATCAGCGCTGACCGGAACGTGGCGGGATAAAACGTGATTGTGTTCATTCTGAAACACGTCATACAATAGTAGAAATATTCAATACTCATGACGTAGATTGTGAAGTGATCGTACAGGCAAATACATGTACATCGATATCTGACATAGACAAAAATAAATAAAGCAAAAATACTGTCGAAAAAATGCGACATATAGTCATTTTCATTAACAATGATACAAATATCGAGTGAGTGAGTGTGTGCGGCTGTACGCCGCTTTCAGTTATACTTAAGTAATATTACAGAGGTCGGGTGGCCACAAGAAATGGGCTTCACATATTGGCTTACCCACCACCTTACTAGGAATATCATATAATATTACTATCCCTTTTATAGTTTGGGCTGTCAGAAAGGGTCATGGGAGCATTTGATTTGGGGTACCTAAAATTATGGAATATCTAAATTTAGATTAAATTAATTAAAATTAAAATTGAAATGATGTAATGTTTGTAATTAAAATATTTTAAAGATCTCCAAGTTCGATGCAACATTCGTTTCCACGTGAGTAATAGTTAAAGTTACTAGTTCTTATCAGATCCAAGTATGATACCAAATATATTTTATACCAATTTGAATTTATATGTATTTGTGAACAGAACATTTTATGACAGCGTAATTCTATGTGTGCAGTGCACTATTTTATATGTATTTTAAGGGCAATATAAATAATGACAGACATAATTCAACCCTGTCAATTGTGTCTAAGTTCGTATTCTGACCACTGGTCACAGCATGGTCATAAATGCCACGGCTTATGTGACACACCCTGAAACAGTGAAACAGTGGGCGCCCACATACATCTCCTGGACAGACACTCTAGACGGAGGGTCACCTCGGTCATATTACAAGCTGGGGCTGTTTATGGTGTAAACTGATCGTTACTGTTGTGTTGAACACTCAACAAGGGGCTGTGATTCTCATTGTTGTTGGGCCTCAGGGAAGGTGCTGCGCACATTTAAATACTTCAGTATAACATATTAAACTTGGGTTCATGTGAAACCCATTCTTGGCGTACCAATCGTGATACTGTTAAGAGCAGCGTAAATCCCTATTCCCTCATTTAGAGATGACAAAGACGCAGACGACGACGATGATGACGACGACGATAATGATGATGATGATTATTGTTATCATTATTATTATCATCATTATTATTATTATCATCACTTTACTGCTGATTAGAATGATGTTTCGCCTATCATGATAAAAATCATGTTCTTTGATTTCGTGAGTGAATGAATCTGTTGTTTACTTGCACTGTCAGCAATATTCCAGTTATATATCGGCGATTTGGAAATAACAGAACAAGCGCAAGAACAACGATCCACGTAGTCGGGATACGAAGACATGCAATTAGCCGTGACATAGAGCCTGGCAACACGATCCTATTTAGTCCTCTCTTGAACAAGCATGGAGTTTGCGGCCTACTTTACCCCAGAATCCCCCGGGGCTCTTTCATTACGAACGCCCATGGTTAGACTAATATACTGCTACGACGCAAGGTGTATTTAACCTTGTGTGTCACCCAGACCCTAGAGAATAAATTAAAAAAGAGAGTCCAGTCTAGAATGATTTGGCAAATTCAGATTGCCTCAGCTGCTCTGAAATTATGGATTGGATTTGGATTTTAATGGGGTTTTTTTATATTGTGGATATATATGTTTAATTAAGATAACTTTATTTCTGGGACTAAATGTCAGTCTATATTTAACCCTGCATCACTTGCTTGATGTTTGAAGTGAATTTACACGCCACATGTAAGATATTTGTGAACAAAATCTCAGATTTTACGCCGCTTATATCAACTTGACCCAACACAATGCACACATGGCGAATCGACCCGGTTCTTCGGTGTTAAAAACCTGACATTTACTATTTGCGATTTTACCTATGATTTTGAACCAACAAAACTTGTCCGTTGATGTGAGCGCTCTGTAAGCCAGCGTTGAGAGAGAAGAAATGCCACACAACTTTCTCGCCGACGTTCACCACGAGACCAGGGAGGTTGCCGTACATGCAGCCGTTCATGTGAGCCATGGTGTTTGAGGCAGCGAAGGCGGCGTCCTCGTTGTCGAGAAGTCGCGTACACTCGGTGACGTTGAGGCAGTTGTTGAGGCTGGATCTGATACACCAACTGTTCTGTTCCTCAACGACGTCCTGGTATATAATGAACTCCTTGTCGACGTCACGCCGTTTTCCACTGGAGTCAAGTGTTCCTGGAAAGTAACCACTTAAACCTGATAGACACTAATATCTTAACACATGTTTGTGATTTAGGTTTTTTTTAGGCTGCCTAAAATAAATTAAATGTTTCTCGGACACGTTTCTCTTACAAGTGAGAAGGTAGGTTTTTAATTATTTTTAAAAAACAAACAGAAGTAATGAGAGATTTTATGGCTTTCACACCAAGAATATCAACACAAATCGAAAAGTGCTCTGTAGTCAGTTGTCAAGAAAGGCATTTTAAGGAGAACAGGTTATGCTTCATATGGCGCAGGAAATTTGAAAAATATTTTCTTTAATGGGCCATGTAAGTGACTGACTGAGAATTTAAATATAAAAAGTCCAGCCAGTGAACAACCTCTCACGATTATACGACGCAACAGATTCCATTGGGTGAAAACAGCAAAACAGCGGTGAAAGACATATGAATGGATCACTGAAAATTAGTGATGACACCAGGTATTCGCGTCGATCCCCTGTGGTAGCCTTACATGATGGCCAAACACGTTTGATTTTTACGGAGGAGGTATGTTTCCATCACATCACACCCACCCACCCATACACACACACACACACACAAACGCACGCACACACGCACGCACGCACACACGCACGCACGCACGCACGCACACACACACACGTACCCCTCTTGCACGTGAGGAACATGCCGACGAGGCCGGTGTCGACATCCCTGGTAGATACACGATGTGAGTGGTAGGCCCAGGGTAGACAGTTCTCATCCTCGGCAGTCGGGGCAAACGTTTCTCGAACAACCCACTCATATACATACACCTGGCCAGGCGCCACGGCATCATCCAGCTTGTCGCTGCCGCTTGTGTTGTCCTCATATCCGGCACCTGTGGTGAGATGTTAATCCAAATTGAATCAGGGCGGTATATTAACACGCCTTCAGACGACAGGGCATCTTTCAGTGTCTTTATGTTGTTGTAGACGAAAACGTAGACGTTATTTTAAATTGTCCAGTGTATAATGTTAAGCGACATTGTCTCACAAACAAGTGACACGAGTTAGACTCAAATTTTATCAACCTGTGTGATGTTCAGAAAACAGCTTATATTTTGTCCGATAATATTTTATATCCTGCAATGGTATTTTACCCAAAAATGAAACGTGTTTTATACAGTTGCTAGTCAGCTTTTATTTTTATTCTGTATAGTAAATATGTGAATACGTTTTAGAAGAGTCTCTTTACTCCGTATGGAGTGGCACATGTATATGTATTTTATCATTCTTCATCTGCCTGTCTGTCTGTTAATGTCCTACCTACACACAGTGAAGCCCCGTTAATCCGGACGGTGTACTTTTGAAATTGTCCTGAATAACAAATCATGATATCCCTAAGGCTGTACAAAGATTGATATTCCGATTGAGCTATTCAAGGTAACGTGTCATTGTCCCTGTAGTCACTTGTATATATAAACCGTTCCAACTGTAACAGGAAGTCATGCATATATGTATGTTTGTATGTGTGTGTGTGTGTGTGTATGTATGTGTGTGTGTATGTGTGTGTGCGTGTGCATGTATGTGTGTGTGTATGTGTGTATGTATGTGTGTGTGTGCGTGTATGTGTGTGTGTGCGTGTATGTGTGCGTGCGTGCGTGCGTGTGTGTGAGGTGCATATACATAGTACAAATGTTACCCACACATAAAAGTTAAATAATTTGTTTCACTTCCGAAAATCTATTTAGCATTTCTTCATCATATTATTTCGTATACTGCAAACATATTTTAACCTTTTACAACAACAGCTATTACAGTAACCCATCAACGACCTCATATTGAAATTTGTATTTAAATCTTAATAATTCATTAACTTCAGGGTATCTTGTTATCGTACCCTCAGGCTTTTTCTTGATTGGTTTGCGGATTTTCTTTCAAACTTTGAGTGATTGAAATAAAACTAAACCTATAACCAGGCCCTTTAAGTTATACACAGTGTAACTACGTGAGGAATCGAACCCGGGTCTTCGGAGATTCCTTCAGTGACTCGACTACCACAGATCTCCCTTTCATCATGGACGCCAGGCTACTTAACGTGGAAAGTGTGTTTCACCCACCTTCAGCATTCTTCAAATAGAAGATTCCATGGGAGTGTAGTGTAAAGGATTGGTTGCATCTGAAGGCCAGGTTGGCGAATCTGATGAGGATGGTATCTCCGACCTCAGCTCTGAACACTGGACCAAGGTAGCCCAACCAGGCAGGCCTAGGAGCTTGATACAAGAAGCTGTTGTCTGTATACTCTCTGTATACAACCTTCTTGTATTTGCTGCCTATACGATTCGGACCTTGTTGGATGAAGTTATTTGCGACACTGGAATAGAGCATCACCGAGTGAACTCACAAATTAAAAATTAAAAAAGAACAATTACAAAAAAACGTATAAAGAAATGAGCATGCCTTTTTTAAACTGACGGTTTCATATTTGACAATATACATAAACTATATCTTATTAAAGGATATGTTTAACAAAGATTAAGTTCAAATAGTTATGAATCAAATAAATATTTTGCAAAAATGTATGCATTCACCGAATCCAATATTAACACTTACTGTAACGGTAAACCTTTTATATAATTACATCCATATATATCCTGTAAACTATACTTAGTCTATATTTAATAATAATAATCATTAAAGTGTAATTGCATAACTATAAGACCGAAGGACAGTGTATGGGTCGTTATTTCGAATTGTAGCTAATGCATTATATGGTATACATGTATATAATACCGCACAGAGCGTTGTCCATACAATGATGCCATCGATCGGATGTATGGTTAGGTACAGAATACAAATTCTGAATGATAATCTTCTATTTCGCTATATTATTGTATTTTATATTGCAATACCGACATCAGTAATGTATAAGCTACATCTGTCCTGTTTATTAAATATGATTTTACAGTTTAAAGTCCATTTCATAATAAAGATGTATTCAATTTAATTGATGGGCATAAATTTGATAATGATAAGGCTTTCCTGTCATGCTGTCATGTTCTTGTTTAAATTGTTGTAAATTTCGAGAACGTCCTCACCCCTTGTCAGTTAATCAATACAAAATTAAGTGCTTATATTAATAACATAAGCACTTAATTTTGTATTGTAATATGAATGTCATAACGGGGTGTAGGGGACTCTACAAGCTGAATGTTCGTGTGCTCCCTTCGACCGAAGTGTGTAGGTCAGCTTTCAAATAACAGCTACTTATCTTCATGCAAATGTTAATTTTGTTCAACTTTCACTTTTTTATAACATTCAGATAGACACCAATATAGTCAAAAGAATATATTTCCTTCAGGTAAAACCAGTTTAGCCTAAAGTTACGTGCACCTCAATACTCCAAGGAGTAATGTTTGTTTGTTTATTGTTTGTTTGTTGTTTAACGCCGCATTCAACAATATTCCAGCTATATGACCGTGAACTGTATGTAAATAATCGAGTCTGGAACAGACAATCCGGCGATTGACATCATGAGCATTGATCCACGCAATTGGGATACGATGACATGCATCAAACCAAGTCAGCGAGCCTTACCACCCGATCCCGTTAGTCGCCTCTTACGACAAGCATAGTCGATGAATAGAATAATTACCACGCGACCGATTAAAATCAAACTTCATTTTCATTTTAGAAGCAATAAAGACATCGTACATTTATGGGTTTTCCAACGGAGATGCTTACAGTTGTATGTGAAGTTATAGGGCCATGCCAGGTTAACCATAGTCATATGAAAAATCGGGTGTTGTTTCACTTCTTATGGGTAGTATATATTCTACTACATATACTGGTGATACGAATGATTAACTAGATGTGGACAGGACAGTCTCAAGGAATATGTGAAGATACGGGTTAGAGCAGGCCTTCAGCAACACATTCTTGTCGGACAGGCGACTAACGGGATTTGGTGGTCAGGCTCGCTTTCTTGGTTGATGTATGTCATCGTTTACAGACTGCCGTCATATAGCTTAAATATTGTAGAGTTCAGCTTTAAACAACAAACAAACAAACAATCTCAAAACACTTAAAGAGATCAACAAGCTGCTGAATCATACTCACGGGTCATCGTTGACAAGGTTACCAAGAGGCGCATAATCCCAATCAATGTCGACAGCTGCTATGTTGATTACTCGGGTTCTTCCAATAGTTTTACTAGTGTGAATAGGATGTCCATAGCTGAGGTGAAATAGTGAATACAGTACTAACACTACCCACATATTGACTGTCAACTGAGACTCGACAAAACTAAATTGTTTGTCCGAAACAAACCAAATCGCAAAGATCTGTGTATAAGTACTTACAACATGATGCGCGCGAGGAAGTAGGGTGGTAGAGCTTGGTGTTCAATATTCCCAGCTCCTTATATATTGCAATAGGACAATAGAAAAGTAATAAAATATACCACATTCTATTTCCACGATTCATTGAATAACTAACAGGTGTAGGACGGTTCAATGAAATAGAATAGCCATACCTTAAATCTCAATAATGTCCACCGCTATTGCATTATGCGTTTAATGTATAGAGAAGCCTGTCCTATAACCTTGACATTAATATTCTTCACATGGGTATTTGTCAATGAGATTTATGCACAGTCGGACAGACATTGAATTCGTTATAATAGCCGCAATTGGGATGTTTCGTTATCTGTTGGCTTAAACAGTGCGCAGAATGGATACGTGATTCATTGATATTCCGTTTCATTGAAAACATCGCAATGGTGGATCATTATTACAGCCTTCCTACATTCACGGTTCTGCGCATGCAGCAGCATTTATAACAAGGGTTAAGCGTGATTGATGTTTACGAGAGTGTAATACTCCATGTTGAAGTAAATGAAAGGACACTTGAATCCTCTGGCTTACTTTGCTCTCTTTGTAGGAAACCTGTAACTATTTTGATTGCCATTAGATGTAATGTCAGACAAGACGCCTGCTGCGGTTAACCATATCATTAAATGGCTGAATCTGAATCTGGTAACGCGGGATGACGCTTTTACTTGCGGGGCGTGCAATTGGACGATTTCTGTGCCGTTGGTTTATTTGTATTTAGTGTCTGGTAAACCTTATCAATAGATAATTGTGGGGAGAAATAAATTCGCAGTACACATGATCTTGCAATGTATTCAATAACCCATTGTCACAAGCATCTGTTTTACTGTTCTCAAAGTGCATCAATACTAATACAATATATATATATATATATATATATATATATATATATATATATATACATTGCATATATATATATATATGTGTGTGCGTGCGTGCGTGCGTGCGTGCGTGTGTGCGTGTGTGTGTGTGTGTGTGTGTGTGAACTATACTTGTGATACTAGTAGATAATATATACATCTTCCACAGATATATATGTTCGACGCTTCTTCCATCCACTATATCCGTTTCTCGCGACCTTCATGAAGTAAACTCTTCTTTCTGTATATGCTGTAAAGAACATTTTATTTTACATACATGCAAGCACAGTACACTGCAATTTCTTATATTACATTCTATATATATGAGTAAAGAATCCATGATACATTAAGTTGATATTAACCCATATCGGGACAGGTGTTGTATGCAAACTGTACACAGCTGATATGTATACCTACTCTGAACAATTATTACCTTCATATACAATTTCAGGGCTGTTGGTAATTATTGGAGCCATTGAGTATTTACTCTCGTCTGATACACTTTGGGTATTAAAAGTTTTCTTTGGGTATTAAAAGTTTTCTTTGGGTATTCCATATATAGTATACTCACTGGTCCAGTCTAGATCTCATGGGTATTTTTAAACAAATGACCGATTTTCAAAAAAAATATAAGACCGATTCTCTTTGAATTCCTTACGGATGAAACGGAATAAACAGACAGCACACTGGGATGTAACTAACATTGAAATCAAACCCAACCTCACTCACTCCCTGGTGAGCCCGCGGAGATTACAGATCAGATAGAGAATAGGTCACCAATACTCCATGCATGCTTGTCGTATTTAAAATGAGGATGGGTCACCATGTAACGAAGACCTTCCAAAAGGCAGACCGAGTAGTAAAGTTAAATATATAACAGATGAGAGTCAACCCCAGTTATTTAATAGACCTCCCAAACATTGTAATAAATCATACCCTGGCGTCTCTTTTCTGTTCATCCATAAGAACATTCTGTTGAACTTTGAATGGCGACTTATCTTGTATATTATTATAAGTTGAAAACACTATTGTAAAACCTGAAAGAAACTATGATTTTCCAGTATCTCTATATAATTGTTATCAACATATATGGGATTAAGACACCTTCTAGCTTCTCATTTTCTACCCACTCTTACGTTTAAAGAGTATCATGCTAACATCAGCAGAATGTTCCAACTCAATTAACAGTTGAGAAACGGTCAGAAAACTCCTGCTGAGTTTCTAGATGTTGTGGGACATTTAATTAAATTAAGTTGAATAGTTCAGTGACCAATGCTGTCAAAATTCTAGAGGATGTTAACTATGTGTCAACACAATGACCATTCAGTAGCAGTATAGGTCATTTGTTTCATGTATTTTGTGTCAATCCAATGTATTATGACTGCAAAGTCAGTAGCAGTATATGCCATTTGTTTCATGTTTTTGGTGTCAATCAAATGTATTATGACTGCAAAGTCAGTAGCAGTTTATGCCATTTGTTTCATGTATTTGGTGTCAATCCAATATATTATGACTGCAAAGTCAGTAGCAGTATATGCCATTTGTTTCATGTATTTTGTGTCAATCCAATGTATTATGACTGCAAAGTCAGTAGCAGTATATGCCATTTGTTTCATGTATTTTGTGTCAATCCAATGTATTATGACTGCAAAGTCAGTAGCAGTATATGCCATTTGTTTCATGTATTTTGTGTCAATCCAATGTATTATGACTGCAAAGTCAGTAGCAGTATATGCCATTTGTTTCATGTATTTTGTGTCAATCCAATGTATTATGACTGCAAAATCAGTAGCAGTATATGCCATTTGTTTCATGTATTTTGTGTCAATCCAATGTATTATGACTGCAAAGTCAGTAGCAGTATATGTCATTTGTTCCATGTATTTTGTGTCAATCCAATGTATTATGACTGCAAAGTCAGTAGCAGTATATGCCATTTGTTTCATGTATTTTGTGTCAATCCAATGAATTATGACTGCAAAGTCAGTAGCAGTATATGCCATTTGTTCCATGTATTTTGTGTCAATCCAATGTATTATGACTGCAAAGTCAGTAGCAGTATATGCCATTTGTTTCATATTTTATGTGTCAATCTAATGTGGCCTGCATTTTGGGAGGACACAATGAGACCTGGTTGATTTGTGTTCTAGCACCCTTATGTACAGTGTGGTTCGTTCTTTGTGTTATCAGTCATTGGATTGCCTGGCCCAGACATAAATATTGGAGTTACTTCCAATCGCTCTTTCTCTATGACTATTTCACCATCCTCTTCAAAAAAGCTAAATATAGAAGTTATATAACCACTACATTTACAGCACATGTTGCAGTTTAACATTCCCGACTGTAGTGTGGGGAAAGTGCTTTGTTTTAATTACATTTCTGTACAGTGATTGCATCTCACAGACAGGTATTTTGGTTTGCTATATTTCAATATTCCAACATATTCTAGCATATCCACATACATCACGCTGTCGAGTCTCACGCAGTGATCTCGTATTTCATCACAGACTAAGGTCCGCCTGCGTGGTCTAGTGGATAGAGCGTCTTACCGCAGAGCAGAGGGTTTACTGCCTTAAAACAAAATACGATAAACGATAGAATAACGTTTAGTCCCTGAAAATATATAATTTGGAAGGAAACAAATAACTCCATTTAAATTGAAGAGGAGCCCCAGTGAGCCAGGAGATTAATCAAGACATGTTTCATTTGGGGATTTTGTATTTCAGAAATGGTTTTGGAGAAGGAAAAATAATAAGGTTCAGGGACTGTGAGACAGACTAGTTACAAATAGTTCTTGTTGTTTCGTCTTTAAGGGGTAAAACAAGGACTGGCATGGTCGGCCCTGAGTCAATGTACTGTGTCTGAGAGGGGTATCATGTTACACTGCGCATGGTATCCCAGTTGGATAGCACTATATATAAAACCAACAATAGACCGGACCAGTACACACTCATACACGTGTATACACGTCGCTCGGTTTGAAATACCCGTTGTATTATATTCTATAAATACAAAAGCGACAAAACCCTTCTCATATTCATAAGAAATATCTGCTAAAAGCAGAGTCGATTGTTCGATTTCGACTTCATCATAAGCATGTGTTTATGAATCACTATCAAATAGTGATGATACCAGGTGTTCGCTAAAAGGTGAGCGTATCCTGCCCCACCGGTGGCACCCGTGTCACAAACATATCAAAAGGCAAGTCAATTGTTCACCTGAAACAAATGGTATATGTTAAACTAGGGAATTGCATCGGACGTAATTTTTGTCACTGATGTGTCAAATTTGGAAATGCCCCCCACACCATAAAACGTTTTGAAAGCTTTAGTGATGCCTTGAATGTTGTAACCTTGATCAAACAACTTCTAAGCAAGAGTCGTATGATGCTCTTTGGAATCTTGGTAGAAAGAGCAAAACTATATCTATAAACTATATTGTTGAAGAGTTCCAATACGTTAATGATAATAAAATTCACCGATAAATCTTCCAAATCTATGAATGCTTAGAATGCTCACACAGGGTTGGAATGTAGAGGGATGGATGCGCACCCATGCGCTTCTCATCTGGATTGGAGAACGTCAGAGTATTTATACCCTCAGGCTCTGTTGCTCTAATCCATTCGTGATATCGCCGGGACAAAATCGTAGTTATCTTGCCGGGCAAAAGAAAGTATACACTTGAAACTTGTATTTGACCAAAACAAGTACAAACGTTTACTTGCTTGGCTGAAAACACTCTCCGAATCACTGCATACGTTAGGTAAAAACAACAACTACGATACTTGTATCAAGTACATCACCATTGAATAACCATTTCTTGTTTCATTTTCAGGCACCATCAAACATAGCAGCAAACTTCGTTTCCCCTTGCTTAAGTTTGCGAATGCAATAAATGTTCACCTCATTCAATAACAACCATCAACATACTAGGAAATATTCTTTATTGCAAAAAACGTTAAAATAAAATATTATGAGAAAAAGATATCAGTGTATCTGATATCTTGTAAACACATTTGGAATGAGACATATAATAAACTACATGACATATATTATGACACATTCGTAACAAAGAAATATCTATATGCAACATTATCACAGAATTTTCTTCGATCATATAAATATTACACAAATCGAAAATATTGCAAAATACGGATATGTATATTCACGACACTTGACAAGCAATCACACCAATAATAATATATAAAATTCGATTAAATCGTCCATTTCATAAAGAAATACGTATGAAATAATAATCATAAAATTTATCAAAATCTGATTATGGGAGATCGAGGTTTTTTTTATCTCAACAGTAAGTAAGCATGATTTATGTAATAAAACTGTTGACAACATAATCTTCAAAATTTAAAATGAAAGCTCATGAGAAAATGATAGAAGCTGACTTGTAACTTGAAGATGTTTTCCATTCAATCGTCTTGTGATTCTATTATACTGGGAACCAATGTACATATATTAAGATCTTCTACAACCTGTCTTTAATGAAATATCAAACAACAGTGATGATGTAATACCACTAAACTACGGCTTGAAACTCACTCACTCACTCACTTTTCTCTAATAAATTAAAGGATTTTGTAATTCTTACACGCTCAACAAAGACCCTTTAGCCCATTTTTCAGAGATTCTGAAAACCACAGTGATGATGAAATACCACTAAACTACGGCTTGAAACTCACTCACTCACTTTTCTCTAATAAATTAAAGGATTTCGAAATTCTTACACGCTCAACAAAGACCATTTGCCCATATTTGAGAGATTCTGAAAACCACAGTGATGATGTAATACCATAATACTACGGCTTGAAACTCACTCACTTACTTTTCTCTCAATAAATGTAATGGGTTTCGTTATTCTAACATGCTCAACAAAGACCATTTGCCCGCATTTGAGAGATACTGAAAACGCATACACTTTTATGCTCATGAAAGAACATTAAATTATGAATACTGTCGTATGGGACACTTGATAACATGATGAAAACGATTTTTTAGTTCACAGCTAAACTAGCACTTCATGTAAACATCACATGGTAAGAAATATTATGGGATGCCAAATCCGGCGCCACATTAATTGTCTCTTCGGACTTTCCTCCCCCATTAAATAGACACGACAAAATGCGGCGCTAAGCCCAACTCACTCACGCTGTGTAACTACCGGCGTACTGTGGCGATGGGCGAACGGTGTACGTTACTTCCATGCCGCTCTTCACATGCTCACTGAAGTGACAATGCAGGATCCACGTGCCGGGGTTGTCCGTCAGCATCGTCACCACCTGTGTCGTCGACGGGAATACCTCAATAACGTCACCTCTGTGAACTTTGTCCGTTCTAAACAGGAACGTCTGTCCGTGGAAATGAACGGGATGATAGTCAAATGTTGATCCAAGTCCAAGAATAAACCAGTCAACACAGTCCCCTTCATCCATGACCAGACCATCCAGGTTACCATAGATACGACCGTTGATGGAATTCATGGAATTGCTTGCTCGGAACTCAGCATCACCAAGATCCGTTCTTTGCGGTGCGAATCTGTTGACATTGTCTTGGAGATACCAGCTGTCGTTCTCATCAAACACAAAGAAGAGGATGGCGAATTCTCGATCAACGTCGCGTCTTGTATCATCGTAATCCAGAGTCCCGGTGCTGCAGATGATCAACGGACCAACCAAACCGCTGTTCATGTCCTTGACAGAGTCCACGGACGAAAAATACATCCAGGATATACAGTCAGGGTCATTTTTTCCAGGACCGGCTCTACTGGGCACCTCCCAACGGTAGGTGAATGTTTGACCCGGAAGTACTCCGTCGTCACCTTTCTGACTGGTTCCGTCGTTGTAAAGCGATCCCTCATTGGCCTTGTCGTACCGGACCCCCTGAGGATGAATAGAGTACGGTCTGGTGGCCTTATTTTTGAAAACTACCTCTATGACATCCCCGACCTCACCTCTGATGACGGGTCCGAGAACCCCCAGGTGTTCCTGATTGGTTGTGCGGGTTTTGCAAGTATTAAATGTTGCATCTGTGTACTCCCGATAAACAGCCTTCTTGTAGGTACTACCAATGAAAAAGTCATCTTCCTTGACGAACAAGTTTCCTGGCCTGAAAAATAAGTGAAAAGCATTTGGGAGACGGTTCTAGAAGCGGACGTTAAATCACACAGCTTGCTTGTGCTTGTGTGTGTACAGTGAAACACTTCTAATCCAAGGCAGGTAAGAATTTACACCTCACTCAAACAATATTCAAGATATACAACGTTGTCCTGTAAATAATCGAGTCTGGACCAGGCAAATCAGTGATTGATATCATGAGCAACGTACCACGCCGTTGGGGTATGATGATTAGATTTTAATCGTGAACAGTAGATCAACATCTTTTATATCGCAATATAGGTGCATATTTCTAAAGATAAAAGATGCACATTTCAAATACAATATGATTCCAGTGATAAATTCTAATATATATGTACATATTATAGATATTCCCAACCCATTAAAAAAAATATGTTTAAACTAATCATATGGTTTCAGTTACACTTACAAAGAAGGATCTGTCAAGTTCTCCCCTGTCACGAGATCTCGCAGGATCGGAGCGTAGTCCCAGTCTACCTCCTCTGCAGCAATGAAGTACTTCCGAGTTTTGCTGCCTACGAAAGGCTTCTGCTGGGCCCCACACGATTTGACGTCATACAGAGCAACCATCCCTGTCTTCAAATGGAAGTTAGTCCGGCATACAAGTGCCCATTTACCTAGGAATGAGATATAACAGGGTCAAACATTGCTGAAATATATTTGCTTGTAACAAACGCAACTGGCTGCAACCATGTTGATTCTGAGAGGATATGACATGATAATCTCATCAAGTCTTATTTTCATCAATATTGCCAAATATATCAACAAATGAATCTGTATTTGAATGGTGTGCCTTATGATTCCAGGCATATAAATTCATGTCAATGGCATGGACCAATCTTCTAGACTTGATTGATACAGTAATTATCGATTTTCTTTCGTGTTCCTTACCATAGGGGAATACAAATAAATACATAAATATACAAGGTCCCAAGCTTTCGGCCTCTCGGCTTTCATCAGGCGCACTCTTTTGGTTTAGCACTACATTATTGGAGATGGTCTCATTGCTGTAATTTTTCATTACGTAATTATTTTTTAAAATGATATCACATGAACTTTGTTGGAATTTGCAATCTTTTAATTGGGATGACAACTTAGTTAAGTATATCACATTGTTAATATAACCAGCTCCCAATAAACCCGTGACTGACACTGACAAACGAGCCACTGACCAACTTTATCCGGTGTTGACAACAGAGTAACCGCTGAGCCAGGGATGATTTCTTTGCCCTCCACTTTTGTCCCCAGATAATCCAGCGTTTGTCCGTTGAAGTTCACCCCGTGCATGTCAAACCATCCCCCAAAGCCGATGATGTGCCAGGCAACTTCATTCCCCTGGCACATCTCCAGACCCTCCAGGTTGCCAAACATTCGCCCATTGATGGCTGTCATGAAGAAAGGAATATGCAATAGGCATAAATCGAACACAACTTTCCTAGTATCACGATAGATTTTTTTATTTATGACTTCCACACATGAACAACATATATACATCTCTGCTCTGACAAATTAACGTCCTTCTGATACATAAAATTATCAAACATATTCAACGATGGCACAGGTAAACGATAACCGTTCATATCAATAGATATATACAAATATTTACTTGTGTGTAATGGAATCAATATGTCGAAAATAATGCATTTTTACAACAGTAACTACATCTTCCCGACGCAAGAGAGTTAACTGACTATAAAGACCAGTTTCCACCCTTGCCGAAATAGGCTGGAATTCCTGGGCTCGATCTTGGCGCCACCAGTGGATGCTATGAGTTATGTCCCTTCTGAGTTTCTCCTGTGGACCAATCCGATTCAATCACTTGCATTTGTTTCGAACAAAATGGCGCCGCCCAGACAAGACGATCTGATCGATAATCAAGGTCTATATTGTGATAAAACGGGTCTTACATCGCGCATCAAATCACGCGAGCACCTTGATTAAAAACGTGAAAAAGTTTGGAAAATATCTGTAGACAACGAGTTGGCGGGGCACATGCTTTGCAAATCCTGCAATCGACCGACAGTTTACGAACCGGATTTCGATTCGATTTCGTTGCGAGATTTTGATTGGACTATGCATAGACTCGTTAGTCCACAATACCAGCCTATAGCTAGCTCGGCAAGGCAGGAAACTGGACTTTTAAAGTCAGTTAACTCTCTTGCCTCGGGAACATGCAGCTACTACTACCTATACCACAACTGTCGTCTGGTTTAGACATTAGACCGAACTAGTATGTCATATATCATTTTAAACACTCATTCGTCGATTACAGCTCTACGAGGACTGACACTGCTTTTTGTCACCTACCATGTTTTCGGTTTGAGCCGAAGAAGGCAGGGTCATCCTTGTTGACGGACGCTGGGTCCGTTGTGAAGGTCTGGATGTTGTGGTCAATATACCATGACCTGTTCTCGTCCACTGTCATGAACAAAAGGTACAGGTGGGTCAGACGACTGAACCAGGTGGGTCGTCTCCTTCTGAACAAGAACCCAGACTGAAAGGAAAAGGCGTTTGTGAGTGAGCAGGTGTGGTTCTGAACCGTTTTTAGCAACACTCACAACCATATCACTTCGCGGGCACCAAGAATGACCATGGGTTTTACATATAATTGTAATTTTGGGGGGAATGGAACATGGTCTCCTTGTTGACTCATCAAGCTTCAACCAACTGACTACCCTCCCTTTCCCAAAAGACATTTGCAGTACATGTCACCCATCATGTTTTCTGGTGCCCGTTGGGCAACAACAATTTACTCAATTTGGATAAAAAGTATATACGGCCAGTTGTAAAAGGATTTGTTTCAATATGTTATGTCAGTCTCAGTTAGTAAAGAAATTATGTTGATAGAAATATGAAGAAATTAGTGGTCTGGTATGAAAATGTCAGTAACCGGCTCACCGATTGTTTTTTAAGTTGGCCTCTATTGCAGACGAGGAGAGGACCAAGGAGGCCTGAGTGCACGTCTCTGATTGGGTCAACCGCGGAGTGATACGTGTGCGTCAAACACTCGAGGTCATCTCGTGTAGGTCCCATAATCTGGGGGACCCGGAACTTGTAGGTGATTGTCTCCCCTGGCTGTGCTACTTTCCCCGTCGTCTGATTGCCTGAAACGAAAACATGTAAAATGTATACCGTATTGTTATACAGATTCCGACGTGAGAAAGTGAATTTTGTTTCACGCCGCATCATTTCAGCGATATTTTAGTTAGTTTTTGTCCAATGTGTGGCGATGTCTCTTTTGAATACACAATGCCTTTTGTTTCTCGGACAATCGGGTTATATAATTCAAGTACGTTTTTAGGTATTATTTAGCGAATAAATATATAACTTGGGATCACATCTGTGTAAGCTCGTGGCGTGTTCACTTTAAGTTGGAGCAAAGTTCGAATAGCACGGTTTGTAGATGGTACCGCTTCGATGAAACTTACGAGCAAGGCATGGTTGTGACCGGCCACCACTAAACCAAAGAGCAACGGATCTTAGCAACTAAGGGACGCAACTCTATACAATGAACTACGCGTTGAACAACATGGACACTGATTTTGAATGATGCAAATTAAAACTGCTTGAACAATGTCGGATGTTTTAGCGACAAAAGCTCTATACTTACTCTTGGGGTTTTTGTAAAGGAAACCTTCATTTTCTTTTGTAAACATAACGCCGTGTGGATATACTGAGTACTGCCTATCGGCGTTATTGCGGAACACGATCTCGATTGTCTCCCCTTCCTCGGCTGCAATGACAGGTCCCATGAATCCCAAGTGTTTCTCGTTATCCTCCCGTTGTTTCTTCGTCCGGAAACTATCATCAGTATATTCCACATACACAGCTTTCTGATACACTCCCCCTATGCGGTCTGGTCCTCGGGTAAAATACTGGCTCGCGGTGCTGAAACATTGAACATTCAAACTTGAAATATATGTGATTTTAGGGAGGGATATAGCTAGGCCAAGGTAAAATGCCAATATCCGTTAAATACTATATCATACACTCAACTTATTTATGATGCATATCCATCGTGTGGTTAATATTAGAAAAACTGAGCAGAGAAATGCCTCAGTTTCATGTCACGAATTACAAGATCAAGACCCAGACTTAAATTTGGTGACAAACCGTTGAGTGCAGACACCTTTTAGGCCGTCATTATACGTGTGTTAAAAACATGTTCTCTTCTTGACGTTAATAACATGAAAGTGCTTACCCTACAGAATCATCAGTGAGATTTCCTCCATTGAACAAATCTTTACCGGAAGGACCATAATCCCACTCGATGAGCTCCGCAGCAAGATAGTATTTCCTGTTCCTGGATCTGCCGTAGCCCCATGGAAGCCTCGGGGATTCGAACAAACTAACATGTCTCTTCCCACGCCAGCCTCTGCGAGGGTTGACATTCAGGAATGCGTGCATGCCACCTGAGGATAGTGAGAAATATATCCTTTTTCTAATTGGAAATAAACAATTGCAAACGTCCTTACGTATATGTCGAAGCGACTGACATGTTAAAATACACGTACATTGTAAACTATCTTCAGAAAGTGAATGATTCAAAATGGTTTCACACCACAGTATTCCAGCATTATAACGGCGGAGATCACACATCGGGGGACACTAGAAATAGTAAGGATTCGAACCAGTCGAACGTTTGTAAACCTACGGACCTTTTCTTCCTGTGTGTTCATACCTATCTTATAGTCTAACCTTATAGTTAGTGAGTGAGTATGGTTTTACGCCGCTTTGAGCAATATTCCAGCAATATCACTGCGGACACCAGAAATTGGCTTCACACATTGTACCCATGTGGGGAATCGAACCCGAGACTTCGTCATGACGATCGAATGCTTTGACCACAAGGCTACCTCACCGCCCCTTAATTTATAACATTTATTTACTGGGGGATAAAATCCATATTTCCACATTTTTTCCTTGATTAACATCTAAGTATTGGCTGATGCGAATCGACACAGTAAGGAAGGTATTGTAACAAGAATTCCACCTACCGTCGAATGCCTCGGCGATCCTACTGGACAGCAGCCACGTGCCTGTGTTGATGGGCGTCATACGAGCTGATACAAACGTAGCTGGGTAGAAGGTGACCGTGTCCACTCTGTAGCAGACCCAGAACATAGGTAATTATGAGTACAGATGGTCAATGTAAGGCCAATATTCTGGGTTTTACTCATAATACTACGGTATGGAACTGAACCTCGTCAGAATCAGATCAACACGTCACAAGAGAAAGACTAAACCTTAGAATATATCTAAAGGAAAGCTTTGTCACTGGATGGGGAATTCTCACCCCTTACCGTTTTCGTTTTGGTAGCTTCCTGAAACCACCTTAAGGGCAGTTTGCTCGAGCACATTGACAATTTGATCAATTTTTGTAAATGTTGCTACAGCACTTTGTTTGCTCACGCAATCTTTAAGATGTATATAAATTGGAGCTGTTAATAATCCACAGCTAACATATAGACAGTGTCTAAGTTCGTTTGTTTGTTGATTGGTGCCGCAGAGAGAGAAACACTTTTTTAAAGTCTTATGTAATGTTTGTTTGTTTGTTTGTTTGTTTGTTTAACGCCGCACTCAGCACTATTCCAGCTATATAACGGCGTTCTGTAAATAATCGAGACTGGACCAGTCAATCCAGTGATTGATATTATGAGCATCAACCTACGCAAGTGGGATACGATGACATGCACCAGTCAAGTCACGGAGCTTGACCACAGTGTCTGGGTCTATCACAAGGCACGAAACACAACGTTTAGTCCAAGACTGGTATTGAATAGACAGTAGAATATAGTCTTTAGTCTTATCTTATCGACTTCCATCATTTTTTAGTCATACCACGTACCTGTGGTTTCTGAACGTCAGGACTTGTCCGCTGAAGTGGGCACTCTGAATCCCGGTGTTCAGTGAGAGGAAGTGGAAGACGACGTCATCACGCTGTCTCACATCGAGGCCAGGCAGGTTTCCGTACATATAGCCGTTAACGTGGAACAGCAAGTTGGACGTTTGGAAGGAGCCATCGTTATTGTTGCTGAGGGACAAGCATGCGGAAGGATTGCCACATTTGTCAAGGTTTTGGGAGAGGAGCCAACTCTGTCCTTCGTTCGTCTGGTCCATGTACAGCACAAATTCTTTGTCAATGTCACGGCGTGTGTTGCCAAAACGAAGCGTTCCTTTAATATATAAAGACATATACTGACGTTTTGTCCAGCGTCTAGTGTTTAACAAGAGACGTTAAAGCCGCTGGGGACCGACTATTTGTTATGGTATATACATGTATGTTGAAATCCCGAGACAAACATACGTAAATTCATATATATGTTGAAACCCCGTGATACATGCTAGATTAGGCAGGAATTGGGGATGAATATAAATACTGTTAATAATTATGAGCCTGGAATAATTCAAATTAGAGAAGTGTAGTTAATAATTATACAATATTTTGTATATCATTTGATATTGATGAAGTAGAACTGCAGCAATATGAGTATTAAACCCTTTTGCATGAGTTTGGGTAAAGATTTTGTAAAGAGTTTTGCCCCTTAGTAGTGCCAGGGTCAGCTGATCGTGTGTTCGTTTCCCAATATCCAGACATATGCATGTGTCAGGCAGTGTCAGCCTTCCCCAAAACAGTAAGCTCATTCTCCATAATATGTAAATGAAACACTGTTTTTGGTGGCGTTATATAAGACTCTGTTGCTGCGATCATGCGTACTCACCTTTCTTGCAGGTCATGAGAACGCCGACCAATCCGCTGTCTACATCCTGGACCGGGAACACGTGGGAGTGATAGGCCCAGGCCAGACACCGCGAGTCGTCGCTTGTTGGGGCGAAGTTGGACGTCACCCGCCAGACATATGTGAACGTCTCCCCGGGAGCTACACCGTCATCGGCCTTGTCTGAACCTGTCGTCGCGTCCACGTAAAGTGCACCTTAAAATGACAAAAACAAATTAACAAAACACAAACATAAAAATAATAATAATAATAATAATGCCTGACTGTGCCAGGATCACCCAAACTCTCCTTGCTCCATTTATTCATTTTAATCTGTATAATAATCATAATTAGTAGTATTGGTATTTATCATCATCATTATCACCATAATAAGTTTTTAAGATATATAACCACTTGGCTTACTCTCCCGCTGAGACCCTGGTTAGACTAAGTATGCAGTATTCCATTGCTTTCGAGTGGCAACTTAATTGGATCCGGTGGTCAGACTCGTTGCGTGTCACCGAACCCTGACACCGAGAGACGTTGCTCATACTATCAACCACTGGATTTTCCAGTCCACACCAAATTACTTTCCATAAGCCGTGAGGTAACCGCAATATTGATGACAGCGGGGATATACAAAGAAACAAACAAGGCAGCACTGCCATCACTACATCAATGACAACATACTACTACATCTGAAAAAAACATCATCTCTGTGACAAGGAAAACGATCATAGCTTCAACAATAAAACTAACCTTCGGCATCTTTGTTGTACTGGACTCCGTGTGGATGGACACTAAAATTTCGCCCTGCAGTCATCGCCATATTCTTGAAGTAGACTTTGATAGTGTCTCCAACCTCGGCCCTCAGGATTGGGCCAACGTATCCCAGACTTGCTGCATGGGGACGCTGCTTCGTGAAACTCCCATCCGTGAATTCCCGATATACTATTTTCCTATACACACTTCCTATACGGTCCTGTCCCGGCTTGAGATACGTGTCAAAATCACTGGGAAAAAGAATAAATAGATTTGATACTGGTATATACCAGGTATATCCCAAAAGGTTCCATGGTAGAATAGGTCTTCAGCAACCCATGCTTGCCGTAAAAGGCGACTATGCATGTAAGAGGCGACTAAAGGGATCGGGTGATCAGGCTCGCTGACTCGGTTGATGCATGTCATCCCAAATGCGTGGGTCGATGCTCATGATGTCAATCACTGGATCGCTGGTCGAGACTCGATTATTTAAATACCGCCATCATACTGATGGCATAGACAAGCATAGTTTGTTGGCACCTATATTCGTTTACCCGGAATCCTCACCGATCCACTCAATCGGGTTACATTTACACATCACCAACCAAGCCACCAAACCTGGACCCCTGACCATTTACTCCCCTCGCTGAGGATTCAAACCTGGAATCCCGACGGAGTAATGTCATGGTAGAATAGGGAATGATGCACCTCCCTCAGTGAATACAAGTTTAATAACGGCACTGTTTACAGTTGTTAGATATTCCACAGCGTGTGATCATGAAAGAGAGCAGTTGACAATAAAAGTGATCATACAGTTCAGAAATCAATTAAATACTCAGTTTTCCACATGTAATATACCTTGTCTGTGGTTACTTAATCCTCAATGTCTACAGGTCACGTGACTGCTCATTCTCGGGATAACGTGAAACATGAAGGAAGATTTCGGGTTTGTGGGAGGTCAGATTTCCTTATACCTAATTGATTGCTAATAGGAGTTAAATAGTAGACTCACTCGGCCACGTTACGACGGTCGATATTGTATTGTATTTACAGACCGCCGTCATATGGCTGGAATAATGCTTAGTGCAGCGTTAAACAACAAACAAACAAATTATCTGCAAAGGGGGTGTTCAAGCTTACGACCAACGTCAATACTTCATAATGTAGGTTTTGTATACACTACGTTCAATAAATTTTGAACTGAAAAAAAGGATTCCCCTCTTTAAGGAAAGTTTCTGAGAACACACGATACACATGACACGATGTGCAAGTTCAACGAGGGATTACACAAATCAAATATCTGCCTTGAGAGAAAAAACAATAATTTAATTTTCCACGTTTTATTCGGTAATATAAACTGCCGAGCAGAAGAAAATATACACTTGAAAATTGGATTTTACCAACATATTACATTGTTGGTTTGTTGTTTAGCGCCGCACTCAGCAATATTCCAGCTTTATGGCGGCGGTCTGTAAATAATCGAGTCTGGACCAGCAAATCCAGTGATTGATATCATGAGCATCGATCCACGCACTTGGGATCGATGACATGCATCAACCAAGCCTGACCAAGCCTGACCACCCGATCCCGTTAGTCGCCTTTTACCCAAATATTACAAACATAATAAAACGTTACTAAGCTTGAAACAGTCACCGAAGCACTACTAACTGTTCAAAACAGAACTATAAAACCCGTATCAAATCATCGCGATAAAATAACCATTTTTTGTTCGTTAATTTTTTGCCACCGTTAAACCCGATTGTGTTTTTTCTTTTGTCCAGCATGTTATATGTAAATCTAGCAACACAATAAAGTTCGAAAGCAACAAAACAAGGACAATTAAAAAATAATATCCTTAGGTACAAGCGACAGAACATGTATTAAATATTAAATATTTTACATTCGAAAAATACCTACCTGTTGTTATTCACCATGTTTCCATTGGGCGCATAGTTCCAGTTAATTTCAACAGCGCCAATGCAGTACTCGCGCATTCGAGCATTCGCTAAATTAAATAGAGTCAATACGCAAAACAAAACGAAAAACTTCATTTCATGAAAAAATAAAATCTCAATCTGAAAGGAATTCAAATTGCAATTTTCTTGCAATGTCAAAAATATATCACCGAACTAAAACTATATACCAGCTTTCAGTGATTCGATGCCCGTTGTGTTCCGAAGCTTAACGTTTGTCCATTTTATAGCTTTTCCAAACCGGATGAGGCACATGAATGGCATTGACGTGTACTGTTGACGTACCAGGAAGGCGTGGACAGATCCGTGATAAGGAGGTTGGTATTGGACTTTCCAGAATAGTCGGATATGTAACTAAATTTAGGAACAACTTTAAAGTTTTCACCTGTAGATTGCGACACAGTATTTAGCTTTAGCTCCCACCTGTGTTCAGTCACGTCCGCAAGAGGTTACTCAGTGAACCTGATATACGCGGGTTCCTCATACAAACAACATAAAGGCAGCTTTTATTCTGCGGTGCTTAATATTATCGTTACAATAGGTGTGACTATTAGAATCGTTTCATATGAATTCATACTTGGTTTATTTGATATTGTTTTTTATTGATTCAGGTCTCTATTTGTGAGATCAATTTATACATTTACCCTCTCCCTTTCTTGTAACAGTTTTATTTGTCCACCCTTATAACTATGTCGATTTATCTCATCATGAATCTTAGTGTGGCTATGCATATTGTTTAACAAAGCCATTTGTTTTGTTTTATTTTTGATCATTTTTATTAATTCCTCCTATTAATTCGTTTACCCTTTATTAAAATAGGTTCCATAATATATTTACCTAACTATAAGAAATATCAATAATATAAGTATTCGTTTATATTTTACTCTGCGACCCTAAATCTCTTTGTTATCGAATATCAGTAATAAGTATCGTTTTATGTCGATGCATATGTTTATATGACAATTTTTATTCATTCACTCTTCTTATTAATTCGTTCACCCTTTATTTAAGAAAGTATCTTAATGCACTTTTATTATACAATTACCTAACATATTTGTAATATAATATAGTATCATTAATATAAATATTCTTATCTATTTTACTCTTTAAGTAAATATCATTTACCGGAATATCAGTAATACATGTAAAACTGTTTATTTACTTGATCATTTGTTTTCATTGACTCGTTTCTTCTTTCTGTATATCTACCCATGGGTATGTCTCTCGATCCATCTTGTCTCTGAACAAACATATGAATATTATTCACGAATACATTAACAACTCTTTCTCTCATGTTGTACAGGGTTGGTTGGTTGGTTTGTTGTTTAACGCCGCACTCAGCAATATTCAAGCTATATGACAGCGGTCTGTAAATAATCGAGTCTGGACCAGACAATCCAATGATTAATATAATGAGCATCGATCCACGCAATTGGGATCGATGACATGCATCAACCAAGTCAGCGAGCCCGACCACCCGATCCCGTTAGTCGCCTTTTACGACAAGCATAGTCGCCTTTTACGGCAAGCATGGGTTGCTGCAGATCTATTCTACCCCGGACCTTCACAGGGACCCACAATGATAAAATCGGAGTGTTAAAGTGTTGTATTTTCTTAAATACTAAAAAAAATTGCTCAATTTGAAAAATGAAAAATATAAAAAGTAACTGTGTGATTTGTAATTTTTTTTAGTATTACTCCTTCAAGGAAAAGCCTGGAAATGCGTGTTGATATTAAAATAAAATGCGTGTTGATTATAAAAGTCCATGTCCTGGTAGCCATTTAGATGTCTTAGTTTTGATTGGCTTTTTATACCTGTGCTGGATCATATTTCCGCCACCGTATATAGGTGTATATTTAAATACCACCCGAGGCGTTTCTTGATTGAGACCCAAGGCAAACATGTGACGATAAGGCATAACTCCCTGTAGCATGGAAAAACCATGGCTGTTTGAAAGTTAGAAAATTAAGCGGAACAAGGAAACAAAGTAAGCTTTAAACATAATAATGATAATGATAATGATAATAATAATGATAATGATGATGATGATGATATGGGAATATTAAATACGCTTACATTTTGTAAACGTATTATAAAGATAAACCATGACTATATATATGGCGACCTACGTAGATATTCAATGCATATAATAAGAAATATCAGAATAATAAGATATTGGTTTGAATTATTACAAATCTTAAAATGCTTGTTTTTAAAAATAGCATAGATATTCATTAGATACATTTGATAAAACCCACAGCCTGTTTAAACAAATACATTTTGTTCCATTAAAGAGCAATGACTAATTGATATATTTGTCCAAAATGGTTCAATGACATATCTCAAAACAGCAAATGTAAAATGGATAATATTATGGTATTCGACTTCAACTTAAAATAACCCATTGAACTGAATTTTAAACATTGAGCATTTTTCAACATTAAATTAGCTGAATCTAATGCTGAATCATAAAAAATATAGTAATTTAAGATTTATTTCCACATTAAAGTAAAGCGATTTTTTCTGTAAATAAATACAGGGTTCTACAAGTGGCATTTCCTCTGTCGCAATCGTGTACAATGGCTCATTGTATTATAAGATGCCAGGCAGGTGCATGCTAATTACATATCATAAGTTGTTAACATAACAGTCATGTGTGTAACAAACAGGGCGTGTAATTATATTAGCAGCCTTGTAACTATCCAAGTTGTGTCTGACACTTATATATTTAGAACTAAACAAAAAGTTGTCACGAATTAACATTAAATGGTCACGATTCTGATCCGAAATCTCTATGGGAATAATAAATCAAGACGCCTGTTGTTAAATAGCTGAAAACCCAAGGCCCCTCTGAGATTATATCCCATACTCATAAGATCCTGCCACCCTAAGGGACGCAACTCTATACAGCCAGCGAATCGTGGCGCTTTAGACGACTTGGTTACCCGTATATATGAAGACCTCCTACAAATACGTGGCGCATGCGAAGTTTGATAAAGCGACGCTGAGTACGCCCTCTGTCAACACGGAATCTCTACACGCATAATTATGAGGATGACACACAAAGAGACAGCTGAGACGACGACACAGAACATAGCTTTACTACTGTAAGACCAGGAAGTTTCACGAGGACAGTTTCAAAGAACAGGATCTAGCATCTACCCGACACTAGCCAAATCCAGTAACACACAGTTAAAAAACAAATCAAAAAGAGTTGGGAATGCAATTGTATCGGGTAACAATTATGCGAATATTGTATTCATATACATAACTCGGGGTTATATTCTGAATCAAACGATGCATCAGCAACGTATAGGTTAAGCTAACGACACGTGATAGACTTGAACCGGATACCCCATGTATGTCAACCGAGCATATGTCGTTATATGATATCGACACCACACAGCTGACTTTAGTGAGTAGGTTAGTCAATTGAGATATACATAAAGATGCTAGGGAGGAGAGAGAACTGTTTCATGAGTGACTGATCATGACTCACCCAGACTTCTCAATATGTTCAGTGATTTCGTATTATTATATGACGCGTTATTAATATTTCCATGAAATTAGTACCCCGCTTTTAGTCTGAACCCGTTTGCACATAGATAATTTATATTTAGCGCTGGGGTTATTGTAAGTTAATTTTTAGCTTTGTGTGGGTCTAAGTGGACCTTTAGGTGACAAACAGGTTGAAACGGTTTCCCATCAGCTGAGTCGCGTATCTTGTCGAGTCAACAACGAGTATGTTGCACGTGCAGTACGTGCTTGCGCTGTTCCTCCGACCGCTGTGCCCCCTCCGTTCAAGATGTAAACGTCTGCACACAACATGATTGTTTCTTAAACAACTTTTTCCGTGGTGGGAATAAAAATAACAAACTGCAGATATTGTTGGGTACAGGGTATTCATTGCCGTGTACCGTACTGACAGTTAAAAGACTAATCCCGATTTTGTGTTATGTTGCTATTCATTCTTCTTATTTTGAGCCAAACGGACTGTAGTTTTTAGCTTGTATCACTTGGCATAGAGGGAGGGGTGAGGTGGGGGTTTGTGTGGCCCCTGAATTGGGCTTAATACAATGTACCCATGTGGGGAAACGAAACTGGCCGGACGAGCGGACGCCTTAAACACAAAACTGTCCAACCCCCTCTGTGAAGCGCCTCTTACTAAGCGGGAGAAGTATGTTTGTTCGTTTGTTTGTTTGTTGCTGTTATTTAACGCCGCACTCAGCAATACTCCAGATATTGGACGGCGGTCTGTAAATGATCGAGTCTGGAGTAGACAATCCACTTATTGACACTTATGTGCATCGATCCACCCCATTAGGATACGATGAAATGCATCAACCAAGTCAGCGAGCCTGACCACCCGATCCCGTCACAGCATGTAACTCCTATTAGCAATCAATTAAGTATAAGGAAATCTGACCTCCCACAAACCCGAAATATTCCTTCATATTCAGGTTATCCCTAGAATGAGCAGTCACGTGACCTGTAGACACTGAGGATTAAGTAACCACAGACAAGGTATATTACATGTGGAAAACTGAGTATTTAATTGATTTCTGAACTGTATGGTCACTTTTATTGTCAACTGCTCTCTTTCATGATCACACGCTGTGGAATATCTAACAACTGTAAACAGTGCCGTTATTAAACTTGTATTCACTGAGGGAGGTGCATCATTCCTTATTCTACCATGACAATACTCCGTCGGGATTCCAGGTTTGAATCCTCAGCGAGGGGAGTAAATGGTCAGGGGTCCAGGTTTGGTTGCTTGGTTGGTGATGTGTCAATGTAACCCGATTGAGTGGATCGGTCAGGATTCCGGGTAAACGAATATAGGTGCCAACAAACTATGCTTGTCTATGCCATCTATATGATGGCGGTATTTAAATAATCGAGTCTCGACCAGACAATCCAGTGATTGACATCATGAGCATCGACCCACGCATTTGTGATGACATGCATCAACCGAGTCAGCGAGCCTGACCACCCGATCCCTTTAGTCGTCTCTTACATGCATAGTCGCCTTTTACGGCAAGCATGGGTTGCTGAAGACATATTCTATCCCGGATCTTGACGGGTCGGGAGAAGTGACTGCCCTAAAATAGCAGTGTGCTTTGTGCTCCGTTTGAGCTGCAGCATGTGATCCTTCAAACGGAGGTAGGTTTTATTAATTA